ATGAGCACCTCTCTGGACCTCGCTGAGGTAGCCCAGGCCCTTCCAGCCCAGGATCAGGCTGGAGAGCCTCAGGGTGCCTCTGATTCTCCTTGGACGGCTGTTGAAGCCACCAACTACGAAGTCCTGACCAACACCGAGTCACGCCCAGCCTTTGATGGAAGCGCTGCTATCTACGAATTCAAAGAGGAATATGGTGATGTTGGTCCCAAGTTTGAAGAGCTTGAGGTCGAGCTCTTTGGACGTCCGGATGAACGCTCTGGAACAGGCTTGGACTTTGCCAAGTAAGTTACACTTCCTCCTGTACGTTTTTATTCTGAGAAGCCTCACTGACCGATGTTAAGTATTGCCGAGATTGAAGTTCAGCAAGAGGGTCCTGTGAAAATCGACGCCATTGGATCTTTCAAGACTGCTGGGCTTCATCCAGTAATGCTTGAGAATGTTGAGCTAGCTGGGTATGAGTATCCTACACCCATCCAGAAGTACACCATCCCTTCGATTCTTCAGGGCTACGATGTCATCGGCATTGCGCAGACAGGTAAAACTTTTTATACTTCTCACTCAAACAATATTCAGTCGACTAACTTTAGTAATGTAGGCTCTGGAAAAACTGCCGCTTACTTGATTCCTATCTTGAGCAAACTGATGGGAAAAGCCAAGAAGCTGGCGGCTTATCGCCCCAACCCTGCCACCTTTGAGTATGGCCGTGATGAAGTCAAGGCTGAGCCTCTGGTTCTTGTTGTCGTTCCTACAAGAGAGCTTGCAGTCCAGATCTTCAATGAAGCTCGCAAGTTTGCCTATCGCACCATGCTGCGACCCTGTGTGGTTTACGGAGGTCTCCCCATCCGCGAACAAATCAACTTGCTTAGCAAGGGATGTGATATCCTCATTGGAACCCCAGGACGTCTCATTGACTTCATTCATCGCCCTGACAAGCTCACTCTCCGTCGCCTCAAGTACATCGTCATTGATGAAGCCGACGAAATGCTTGACGATGATTGGAAGCAAGAACTTGAGCAGATTCTCAATGGAGGCGGTAAGTCTTCTTCTTTCTGATCACAAGATGTGTGTTTTCTCTAATTCGTCGTGTTATAGAACAGGATTTGGGCAACATCAAATTCGGCCTGTTCTCAGCAACATTCCCCAAGGCAGCTCGAGACCTTGCCAAGGACCATCTCGCAGCTTCCCACGTTCGCTTCCGCGTCGGTCGAGCTGGAAGCACGACTCAGAACATCAAACAGCGAATCATTCAGATCGATCGCTCTGAGAAGCGTGATGTTCTCATCAGCTTGCTCCATGATCTCCCGGGTGTTCGCACCATCATCTTTGTCAACAGCCGATTTGAGGCTGATAGTCTCGATGACTTCTTGTACAACAGCAAGCTTCCTGTTACTTCGATCCACGGAGAGCGCACCCAGGTTGAGAGAGAGTATGCCATGCGAGCATTCCGTTCTGGAAATGCTCCGATCCTGGTTGCTACCGGCGTATCTGCCCGAGGAATCGATGTGCGCAACGTGATGCATGTCATCAACTTCAACCTCCCGTCCATCGAACATGGTGGGATCGAAGAATATACCCATCGCATTGGTAAGACATTAAGAGCCAAACCTTCATTGTTATGTATGTTAACTAACAATCTTCTAGGTCGGACTGGCCGTATTGGTCACCGTGGGTTGGCCACCTCATTCTACACCGAGCACGACGAACCCCTTGCCAGCGTTCTTACTCGCACCCTTCTGGAGACTGAGCAGGAAATCCCGGATTTCCTCGAGCAGTATGTTCCCGACGGCTATGCTAAAGACCAGAAGAACCTCAAGTTCGAAACCGAATCTGATTTTGACCCTAATGACCTTGGTTCTAACGAATTTGGTGGTGGCGGCGAATCTGGTGGCGGCGGCGGCTGGGGAGGAGATGCCGATGCCAATGCTGGAGCTGATGCCTTTGGAGCAGCTGAGCCTTCCGGAGATGGCGGTGCCTGGGGCGCGGAGCCTGCTGCTCCTACTGCTCCTGCCGCTCCAGCTGGGGACAGTGGTGACACCTGGGGAGCCAACCCATCACCTTCTGGCCACGGAGGCCAGAACGCCAACCCCTCAGCCGACGATGGCGGTTGGGGAACCTCCGGTGGTAACACCGGAGGAGGTGCTTGGTAAATCCGAACGTATCAGCAGTGGCCAACGCCTGACAAAGTCGAAGGATTGTTGAGTTAGTGAAACCAGAGATGATGAAAGCTTGGCAAGAAATGGTCAAAAGTAATGAGTGGCAGAATCGACCATGCAAGGATAACGTTTGGTAAAATGACTGAAAATCGCAAAGACCGGAATATCAGTGAAATGGACAATGGACGATCGACCATAGCCTAGATAGCTGACAATGAAAATCTCAATTCGAATCAGAACTTCCCATATCAGTAACTTGTCACTAGATTTCGCGTGAATAACCAAGAACCGCTCTTACATCACAGGGCTGGTCACCCAAACCATACAAGTCTTGAACCTCGGATATGATTGCGGGTGCCGTCAAAACCATGATCAACGTGCTCTTCTCCTCGAAAGAAAGAATTATGTTGTGTAGCGGTAAAATCTCGATTTTGCACCATGTATTAAGTTTGGAGTAATTAATTTACAGGACACGCCCTCCATTTCTCATACCACCTGTTTTCCTTCTTCTTCATCCTCCTCCTCACATATTGCTAAGAATTTTACCCAGCCCGGATGCCTTTCTCAGGAGACCTCCATATCCCAACTCGACCACGCCTTGCGTGAAGCGCCAGCTCTTATCCTGATTTGGAACCGGGTACTGAGCAGGAGGGGGGATCCCGGTGCGTATACCCAGCCAGCCGAAGCGGTCCTCACAGATACTCTTCATGTTGCAGATGCCGCGGAGGCCCTCCTCGCCGGCGAAGCGGCCGTAGCCAGAGCCTGCCACTCCGCCAAAGGGGAGCTGGACAGCATAGTAGACGGCGAAGTCGTTGATGGCCACCATGCCGGCCTTCAAGCCGCGCACGATGGGCTGGAGGGAGCGGTCGCTCTCGGAACCGTGCACGGAGGCACCGAGGCCAAAGTTGGGGGCGTTGGCGATGGAGAGGATATCTTCAGGGGAGGACGACTTGGCAGGGAGGACAGTGAGGACTGGGGCGAAGCACTCGTGCTGGGCAATGGCCATGTCGGGGGTGACGTCGACGATGAGTGTAGGCTGGAAGTAGAATCCCTTGGGATGGTCAGGGTGGGAGTAGCGTTTGCCGCCGGCGAGGAGACGGGCGCCCTTGGAGACGGCATCGGCGATGAGTTCCTCGAGACGAGTGAACGAAGCATCAGAGATCATGGCACCCACATCGGCCTCGGGACCGAGGCGGAGAGCCTTGACACGAGGCTCGAGCTGCTTGATAAGGGTGTCGTAAACGGCAGGGGCGGCAATCACACGCTCAATTCCGATACAGTTCTGGCCGGCAGCTTGGAAGGTGCCCCTGAGCACGACCTCGACGATACGCTTGAGGTCTTTGCGTGCAGAGTCGAGAATGATGAAAGGGTCCTTGCCACCAAGCTCGGCGACGACGGGAGTCAGGCTCTTGGCAGCGCTTGCGGCGACGTGGTGGGCGACGGATTGTGAGCCAATGAAGGTGATGTGCTTGATGTCCGGGTGAGATGTCAGGTGTCCAGCGACTTGAGGCCAGCACACGATGGTCTGGACAAGGGCAGGGTCGTGTCCATGGGCCACCAGAGCGCCGCGAGCAATGTTTGCGAAGAATTGGCTTGACCAGGCCGTCTGCTCTGAGACCTTGACGATGATTCCGTTGCCTGCGAAGATGGAGCTGATGATGGGACCGATGAGGTTATGGAAGGGGTAGTTCCAGCTCACGAGGGCGGATATGACTCCCATGGGCTCGTAGACGACCTTGTTGCGCTTGTAGGACATGAGGAAGTTGGTGGGACGGCGCGAGGGAGCAAGAGCCTTCTCGCCGTGCTTCAAGGTCCATTCGATCTTCTCGACGGTGACGAGGATCTCGCCCAGCTGGGCGTCGACCATTGTCTTCCCGCTGTCGAGGCACGCGATTCGGCAGATTTCCTCTGCGTTGTCGAGGACATAGCGCTTCAGAGAGGACAGGATGGCCTTCCTCTGGTCAAACGTGGTCGTCTTGAACTTCTCCTGAGCGTTGCTGGCAGCGGCAATTGCTCGATCAATGCCTTCGGTCGTGGAGGGGTTGATGAGGCCGAGGAAGCGGCCCGTGGCAGGTGAGAAGCATTGCACAGCCGAGCTACCTGGTAGCTTGATCTTGGCCTCGTCGACGATGGTCTCCTTCTCGGGCAGTCGAGGTGGGGGGATGGTGTAAATAACAGTCGGTCTGGGCGTCGCCCTCGCAGCTTTGCGGGCAAGGCCAGCAATGGAGCCGAAGAGGACAATTGCGAGCAGGGCAACAACTACCTGCACGGGGATTCTATAGGAAGGAAGAGAAGGACGTTAGCGAAGGGCTGTGGTGGGAGATGTCGGGGTAAAAGTAAGTGTGCATCATACGATTCCTTGTAGGGGCTTTCGTTGATCTGGTCGCTCAGTCGCCGCCAGAGCTGCATCACAGCCGGCTCTGGACTCGCCATTGTATGATTGAATCGGCAGAAGAGGGCGGCGCAGACCTAATTGGGCAGATACGGTGCAGTTTCTGGGGGGAGGGGGCGAGTGAAGGCCAGAACAGGATCGGCCACACAATCGCGTGTGTGCTGGTGGTTGAGGAAGCTCGGTGTAAGTGTGGGCAGGGCAGGAGTCTTATCTGATAAGATCACTTAGAATTAGAGGTGGGGAGCCAATTTACAGGTCCCGCCCCTGTCCATCCAGCTTTCAGGCTACAACACACCACTTCTGGCGGCCCGGATAGCCACCAGCCGGCACATCTTGTCCCTGCACTGACATGCTGTAAAGCAGAGTATGGATTGTTGACCGAGAGAAGGCCCAAGGCCACTACATATCAAAGCACCATGTAACAAAGCACAGATATCTGGCTGATCAGCCGCTCATCATATAGCAGTGTCCATCTCAGGAAGTGCTGGAGCTCTATCAGCCAGCAGCCCAAGCAGATTAGTCCTGCTTTCAGCCTGATACATCACGTCCAGACACCCGCGAGCCATCCCCTCGACATCCTCAAACCCACACTTTTCTAGTTCCCTGAGCCGCTGGACCCAGAAGGCCCAACGCTCAGAGCTGTATCCGGATGGGAAAGGAGGCGTGCTGCCAGCCTTCATGGCCAGCTCGCCTGGGCCGGCGAGATGCGGGAAATCGGAAAAGCTCTCAGCGGCGTGCGTTGCTTGCAGATTCCTGCTGGATAGCACGGCAAAGCTCACGCCTGAAGATTCAATGAGCTCATACAAAGAAACAATGAGATCCTGGACTGGTGCCAGATCCCCTCTCTCTTCATCAGAAGAGGTCGTCTGGAGTGGCCTCGGTTCCTCCAGAACGGCTCTAAAGAGCGAAAGTGCACAGAGAGCAGGCCCATCATAAACCCCCACCGAGATAAGGCGCCCAACGAAAGTCGCCAGGTTGATCTGTTGGATCATGCTCAGCTGATAAAAGTTCCCTGTGAACTCTTTGACAAGGGATGCCGAAAACAGTGGTAAATCGGGGAAGAAGGTTCGCCCATCAGAGAAGGTAACAATATCTCCCTCCTTTGCCGGCTTGTCGCTCGACTCTTCAAGAGCTGGTGGCTTATACTGTAAGGGCCCGGATGCTCTTGCAGCTAAGATGCAGCATACGATTGAGCTCTGCTGGTGGCCGGCAGATGGTACATACGTAGCTCCCTGGATGCATGCATACCACAAATCTCTAAGGGAGCGCTCAAGTTCACTCAGAGTCAGCCCGTGGGTAGTGTACCTAGTGAGAAGATGCCCAGTGAGATTCGATGCAAGGAGGTCGATTTTGCTATCACCGCCATCTTCATTAGCCCTCTGGGCTTCTGCAAGAATAATCTCGTTCGTTTCATCAGGAACCACAACTTCAGCAGGAGGATTGGTCTTGGAGCTAGACATGGCGGTGGTCTTGTGAAGCGTTGGATAAAGGACACAGAGTATAATGAGCGATATGCTTGAGAGAGAATGTTGGATCTAGCGAGAGGCGGAATGAACGGCGGGAGCCAACCGGTGATATATATGGCATGATGTGGCTATTTTAGTGTATGGTCTGCCTAGGTAGGCGTTTTTGCGAACTACCAACTGCATAACTTGAATAGGGCAGTACATAGGCATCCAGAACGTGTACGTATTCGTCGCAGCAGGGGAGTCATTGAGCTCTGCTCTCTGTTTAAAATGCACCTAGGCAAAGCTAGGGCCTACACAGGAAACACGGTTTGAGCAGTGTGTTAGAATACCAAGATAACTTGTTGCTTTGACATTGTCATATAGGTACTTAGAGAAAGCTGAGGTATACCATTGGTATTCGTTCTATGTACAACTATATCCATGACCAAGCCTTTTCAAACGCCCCACCGCTCCAAACGCCATATTGTGTTGTGCAGAGGTATCTATCGGTTCCAGGGTCTTCAGCGAAGACAAACACTCCATCACTGCTACTCGAACGCAAGGCTCCTCAATACAATACAGGCAAAGACAAGACTCCAACAACCAGAGTAACCTTCTCTCCAGCCTCAACAAGACAAAAAAAGAACAACGCCCCCAATGTAGGTGTGGTACTCAAAAAAGAAAAAAAGCATAGTCGGAGGAGCAGATATAATTCGGAGAGAAGGGATAACTAGAAACTTTGGAAAATATAAAACAAAACGAATAAGAATTGCAGGCAGAAAGATAGGAAATGAAGATAGCGATATCCTCATGCAGTATTAGGTTGGGACGGTTCCCAAAAATCGACGTGGTTTTGAAGCCTGGGAAAGCAACTGACGACTGTGGATAAGCATCGAAGCCAGCCTCAAACCGCGTCAACTCCAATCAATGGCAACCTAGTACAGGCGGATTTTAGTTGTGAGAGTCATGGGATTGTTCATGCAAATCGTCGATGCGTGATGCTTCACGCCATGATGCCAAGAAGTCGACATAGGGAAGATGAGTAAATCTGTTGAGAATGGGTATAACGATTCAGGCTGAAACGAAAGAGGAGATGATGCTGACAAAGACTAATGATTAACTATTGGTTGGCGCTTTTCGACAATGATAATCCACGTAGCCTGGGTCCAAGCCGGCCGGTGTATGTTCTGGATGACTCGATACGCGAGAGCCTAGCCGACGAAGTAAAGTCGTCACTTGCTTCGAAACTGGGCCTGACACGGTCCATGGAAGCGCGTATCCGATCATATGAGGGCCGTGCTCTATCCATAGATGGTCTGACTGTCATGGTCGCAGGTAGCACCTCCACCGAGTATCGGTTGACAGTGTAGCCCGTCGAGTCGCTACCGTTCTGGCTATGCTGAGGGCCAGTCGCGCGAGTTGTCGTGGAGGGGGGGTAAATTGGACGGCGATCCTCATCGATACTCCCATATGCCTGGTGCTTCGGCGGTTTCGAGACCTTCGAAGATTCAGACCCGGATAGTTTGTTATCAGTTACTCCAATATATGTGACGTCTTTGGGGTTTTTCAAATGATCGAAAGCACCCATCCTGTCTTGCTCTCGGATGATATCCACGTCCAATGGGAAAAAGAGCTTCTGGATGCTCTTGATGGCAAACCGGGGTAGAATGCACATAATTGGAACGAGACAAAAACTGGCCCAGAATGTCGGCTGAGCATACACATGCTTAGCCACACCGTAGAACATGACAGCCGAGTCAAACGAGGTGTACACCCCAGTCCAGAAGAAGATGAAAATGTCACTGATGAAAATAACCAGAAGCATGATCCAGTCCCACTGATATGTGTTCATCAGAATATACAAGTTGATGGTGAGAACTGCTGGGTGGGCGATGTAGGTTCCGAAATGGAGTCGGTCTGAAGCGTCCAAACCGTTAGTAGTCACTGTGGTTGCCAGGCGGAACATGAGATATGGGACGAAGAAACCGATGACAGACTGGTAGGTACCGTCGAGCATGTAAAACCTGTAGAATGTTAACACTTAAAATCTACGCAGAGGGTTAATCGATCTAGACATACCAAAACTTGGAGAGGGTCCACTCCAGACGCTCGATACCACGTCTGTACAGCTGAGGTACAGCCAATGACACCTTATCCGAAACATCTTGGTCGAAAACACCCAACAGACCGACGGGGATGGAGGTGAAAACAAGGTTGAAAAGGATGATGTAACTGTAGTCGAAAAGATTGGTCGAATCGAACTCGCAGTAGATCATATACCAGAACAACACAAAGGACCAAACCATGTTCTTGTAGAAGAAATTGGCAGTACTCTCCGCCATTCGGCGATATGACCATCTGCCGTGAACAAGCACCAGTCTCTGGAGGAAACGGAACTGACCAATAGCGTAATCAGAAGACATGGCAGCTTGACGACCTTCCAGACCAGCAATTCCCACGCCGACGTCGGCTTCTTGGATCATGGCCACGTCGTTGGCTCCGTCTCCAATGGAGAGAGTCATGACATCCAGACCGTTCTTGACCATAGACACAACGGCCGCCTTTTGTGCGGGGCTGACACGGCAGCAGAGAACAGACTTGCACTGCTTGCAAAGCAGCAAGAACTTCTGCTTGAGGTCCTCGTTCAACACCCAACGCAGTGTGAAGCCGTCGATAACAAGACCGTGTGTAGGCGCAGGAGGCTCGTGGTTTTCTTTCGCCGCTGCCAACTCTGCATCATCACCGGTCATGTTGAACAATCGCAGCTTCTCGGTCAAAATCTTATCTGCCTCTGCGACAAGGGCCTCCTCGTCGATCGAGCCATCTTCCTTCTCATCGAGTTTGATATGCAAAAGATCCATGCTGTTATTAAGAAGGTTGCACGAGAATCCAATGTTGATAGCCGTCTCGACCTTGTCACCGGTCAAAACCCAGAGCTTAATACCAGCATCACCAAGCAGTTCAATCGTCTCAGGTACGGCGTCTTGCAGACGATCCTCGATAGCAGTGCCACCAATGAGATAAAGGTCCTGCTCGATTAGTTCTGCAACAGCCTCGAGCTTCTCTTCACGTTCTTCGAGCGCGGCAGCAGCGACATCATGTTGCTTCTTCCAGCTATAATACTGCTCCTCAGTCAACTCCTTTTGAGCAATGCAGAGGGTTCTGAGACCCTCCCTGGCAAACAATTCCAGATGGTCAGCTGTTTCCTTGCGCATTGTTTGTTGTTCGCCCTTCTTCAACCGGGAGTAGATGATGGAATCAGCACCCTTGCAGAAGAGAATGATTTTACCGTCGGGCATTCGAACAATCGAACTCATTCGCTTTCGCGTTGAGTTGAACTCAATGGTGTTGAGGATCTGGTAATGGCGATCCTCTCCAAGCACATTCAGGTTGATACCGTCCTGGGAATAACTCAAAACTGTGAAACCCATATCTCTGGCCGTGGAAACCAGTGCTTCCTCATCCGGAGACTGAGCCTTGAAGATCATCTTGGGCGGGTCACTCAGGGTCCTTTCAGGAATGACAGTGTGGCAAAGCGCCAGGGCCAGCATGAAGTTCACATTTGACTGCTGCTGTTCATGACCAGATTCTCCATTTAGATCGGCAACGAAATCGGGGGCGATGAAATGCAGGTCGTCGTCGTGAAGATAGGGGTTGTCGTTCATGCGTCGCAGCCTTGCGAGGGCTTCAATCTTGGCTTCGGCAATTTCTGCGCGAATCTTGGCCCCCTCGACCTCAATATCAATACCCTGTCGCTTCTGCATACCAGCCTGTGCTTCCGTATAAGCCTCACCATACGGCTGGCCATTGACAGTCGCTTTTTTGAATTCCATGACATTCTGAGTGAGGGTGCCGGTCTTGTCTGAGAATATGTACTCGATCTGCCCCATATCATCAGAGATGTTCCATGATTTTGGAACGCAGGGCTGGTCAATTGGCTCATAGTACATTTCAATGTCGTTGTAGATGAAAATGGCCTGTAGAGTTCTCACAACCTCCATGGTAATGTAAAGGGAAATCGGAACCAAGTTCTGGAACAGGATGACCGCAGCCCAGAAGTTGACGAAACCAGTCAGGGGGGGTGTGCCAGCCTCAGAGCCGAAGTCGAAGTAGTGTAATGAGGCATTTGTTTTGGCCCATGCAACGCCGTTAATGATAGCAGCGAGCAAACACATGAGGAAGAGAATGACGAAATTGCAGATGACATGAAAGTTCAGCTCCCGCGCGATTCTGGCACGCTTCGTGGGTGTCACGCCCGCATTCATCATGATCTTGGTATCGTGACCAGTGAAAACCACGATGCCCAAAACCCACTCGGTATTTCTGAGGTTGCAGCCTCGCAAGAGAAGATTGTCGATTGAAATGGGCTCAACCATCTGCTCAAGATCCTCATCCAAAAATCCGGGAACTTCCTGAACCCACTTAGCAGCTCCGTTGTACTTGTACAGGTTGGGTTGAGGAGGCTCGCTCTCAATTGTAAACTCGGCTCTTTCGCAATCACGGGCGTGCTTCATAGACTGCCCGCAGCGAAGAGCTTGGCGAACCTTCAAGTTAGTTTCACCGTCCAAGTTCTTCGTTTCGACATAGCAGGCACCATCCGGATCGGAAGTTGAGAGAATGATGATATCGGCGGGAAGCTCGTCGTCATTGTAGATGCGGACAAAGTCACCGACAGTGAGGTTCTTCCATGCATCCTTCTGAAATCGAGCACCATGTGCTGATCGCTTATAATTGATCACATCTCCTTTCATATCCCTCACGGCCTGAGCGCGTCTTGCATCATCAGAAGTCGGCACCGCGAGTCGAGCATGTTGAGTTGGGCCGGGAGATGGAACCGGTGTCATCTGGATGTCTTCAGCAGCAGAGATGAATGATTCGCGATGTGAGAATGGCGTCGCCGCGAGCGAGTCACGAACATTTCGCTTTGTGCGTGCTGTCTCGACGGACGGGCGTGGTTCTTCCAAATCGGCGTTCTTCTCTTCCTTGATCTTCTTCCTCTGTTCCCGGGCCTTCTTTGACCAGAGACTCTTGATCCCCCGCCAAAGACTGGCGAAGAAACGCGAAGTTCCCTTCTTGGTCCTCCTCCAGAGAGAAACCTGGTCCTCCGCAACATTCACGTTTGTCCAATGGCGCAGTCGGTGCACCTGAGCGTTGTTCAACTCGATATCAAGGATCGTCCTTCGATAATCCTCAATCGCGTCTTTGATTGCCGTCACTGTCACGATGAATATGATAGGAACTGCATTCAGTGCCGGGTTCTGGACACCGAAGATAGAGAAGCACTAAAGAATAAAGGTGTAAGGTTTCGCCACGTGAGAAAGCAAACAGAAAGCAGGAAGGAAGCACATACCCCCAGAATGACGACAAAGAGAAAGTAAATGTTGGCGATATTGTGGAACTGGAACCACAGGTTCTTCGGGACGAAAGAGAGGGGTGTATACTTGGCGGTACGGATCTTGTTCCGGGGATATGTGTACAAGGGACGACCGTCCGTATCCTGCATCTCAGGAGGTAGTGGTTGGTTGAAATATAGCGTGCGACCACCGTTCTCGTCTTCATCCTCATCTTCGCCTTTGCCCTTACCTCCAGCCTCGGCCTGCGCGGCATCCGTCTTCGAATTCTTTCTCTCAGGCGGGTCTTGTTGGTCCTCCTTCTCGTTATTACTTTGCTGCATACGATCCATCAGCGCTGTCCGCTTAGAACCACCGCTTTTCGTAGTCATCCGCCTCGTCGCCCATCTCGATCGACTAGTCGAGTTGATCTGCTGTAAAGAGTCCCCGTCACCCGCGTCTGGTGACGGCGGTGCCGGTGGAGGATTGGACATTTTGGTCCTCGGTGCCGCCAACTCGGAACTTCGTTATGCAACTTGGCTAGTTTGCGGTCGTCGATGGCTGCTGTCGTGATTCCAACGTCGCGGGCAAGAGCCCGTTCAGTCCCCAGGTGTCGCCAGCCAGTGTGATGTGTTTGGCTAGGCGCTGTCGGAGGTTTCGGATAGACAAGGTCGAGGCGCTCGTGAAATCGCAGACCACGCGACGGGGCGGACCAGGAGGCGATCTGGTCCAGATGCAATTGAGCGCCAAATAGTTGTCGTGGGCGATGCTCGTCGACGTAGCTGAACTCCAGGAGCCGTGGGAAGGCCAGCGCGAAGGGTTCTACGTATAACGCAGGAAGGGGGAAAATTACTACGCGGGATAGATGGGACTGGGCAGGCTGACAACTGGGATCATGTAATCCATCCCAATGGGTAGCAGGAAAGTGGTATCAGCTCGTAGTACCCGCTGGTTGCTCACCTAACGACCGCACCAGTGTGGGTGCCCCGTAAGTTGCAGTACTTGCTCTCCCGGGCTTTCCGGGCCCTGCACTCGGTCGCTGGGACAGGCCAAGGGACCTTGGCTCGCCAGTCTAGCGGGCCTTGACCTGCTAAACGATCAAGCATCAGCAGCAGCCCGTTCAGGGCCGCCACAGGGAGCCGCCCGCTACAGAGCACCAAAAATATGCCCCCATCCGGATTCGTAAGCATCCAGATGCCCGCCAGGGAGGTATGGAGGTATCTCCGTACCAACAGCAAATGCATTGCCATGGCTGGTCAGGGGGCCCACCCCTTCCTCCAAGGTACCCCCGCGCCAAAAATAGGCAGCGAGGTACAAGGCTCGCCCTCTGCTGGTATGGCCCAAAGTCCCACACTCGAAACGAGACGCTCGCCCATGCCCCTTTTACCACACTCCAGTATGGACGCGAAAAGACACCTCACCGCTACGTACCCTTACCCTTGCCAGGGGGATTTGAACTGCCAAGAAGGAGCCCTGAGTGAGAGCCCAGGCATCCTTTGCAATCATCTTGCGCAGTGTTACAGCATACGCCAAAAGGAACACATGTTCCACACCACCCGAAAGAGAAGCGCGATGATGTCGACCGAGCCAACTTACACTGCTTATCGCGGGCATGGCGGCTGGCCAGAGTCATGGCAGGCGTATTATTCCACGCTAGGCGTCATCGTCGGCAGTGTACAGTGACAACACGATAGAACGCCTCAGGATTAGGTGAATTCGGTGGATGCCAGTCGCCAACCGTCTGCAATTTGGCTCTGTTTGGGTTTAGCGCTGAGCCCCTGTACGTCGACGACGGACCAGAAACGGGGCCCGAGGACGGCTCCAGCCTCCCACCGAGAGGACGCAGGCCAAATTTGGCATGCAAGAGGCCACGGTACTACTCAGCTGGGAATGTTATACATGCTTCACATGTCGCATGAGAAGATCTTATCTTACAAGATCGAGAGCATGGCGCAAGCTGACCTGCATCAGCCACCATCCGACACAGCAAAATGTTGATGGGCGTTTGTTGGTGGCTGCCGGGTTTTCTTTTCTTCTTCGGCATTTCCCCAATATGATTTTTTGGCCTGAGTCCGAACGACCAAAGTCCGACATCGAAAATTCGGGGGCCTCGGGGTCCATCTATCTCCGTAATTACTGAACGCCTACTAAGCAACCAAAATGCGAAGGCAGGTAGGCAGGTGATTGATTGATAATCCTATTGGATATCCCGGAGCCCAGCCCGAAAAAATGCACAAGGATGAAAAGGGCAACGGCATCGACGGATATTGGATCTCAGCAATAGTCTGCAATAGCCATGTCTCGTCTCGGCCTTCACATTTCGATTGAGCAGTATTGTACATTCGCATCCAGCCACGTCGTATTTCGAACCCAGGCAGCCAAGCCGACAATCGGCAATGTTTACTCCCGTGCGGTAAGGATCTGCCGTATCCGCCCACAGCCTCATCTATCCCACGGGTTCTTTGGCTCGTGCATCTATCTGGATATGTCGGACCTTCTAAATACGTTTGGGCGCGAAACATCCTCTGCGCAGGTCATGCATGCGGTCATTGTTCACTAGAAATCTCCAGCGGCTCCGTTTAAATTGCTCCCCGCCCACCGATGTCAGATCTCCATAAATCTCTCCGAAAGCATCAAGCCCCCGCCATGTTCTCGCCGGCGGCATTGAGGATGTCTCATTCATGCCGTCGTTCTTCAGGTAATTTTCTTATTCAGGACAATATTAAACAGTCACAGGTGTCCAAACAAATGCTCAGCGACTCCCACTTTTGCCATTAGGAAAGGTGCAACAAGGTAGCATTCACTATGAAGTAAGAATCTATGTATAGATAGCGCTAAGCATCATTGAAGATCCTCCTTGACAGGTTCTACATCAATGCAAAAAGGCTTTCCTGGTCTGCAGCTTACTACTTTTGGCCGCCGTCACCTCACGATGCTTACCATTTGCCAACACGAACGTCGGTCCTTTTGCACGCGCTCGCATTGCTAAGGCTCATAATGAGGCAACCCTCGTCGCGTGCTGATCACTAACCGTAATACCAAGGTACCTAATTTAAAGAGGGCGGGCTGCCTGCCTATCTACGCGTAGCGTCTCGCTCCGAGCGTGTCGTATAGAAATTTGTTACACCCTGATGAAATCCATTCCTTCATGTGCTTCCTCGGCGACAGGAGAACGGCACACTAATTTGTGGCATACCACAAACATCAACTCTAAAACAACCCCGTTTCACATTTGGGCCAAAAAGCCCATGTTACGTATGCTTCAAAAGCCACCGTGCCCCTCGTGGGGACAATGTGGTTCAGAAGTAATCAACGTCTGACGGGGTTCGCCACAAATTCAATTGGGCCTCAGCCACAGGTCCCCTGGTGGCGCCTATTGAGCCGTTGATTGGCTGAGTGGGTTGTCAGTTCAGACGACCCCTCCGGTCGCGGGGCAATGTCTGTGTCACAAGCGTGTTCGGCGTCGACGATTTGCCCGCCAAAATCTATCGTCTAGTATTTTGCGCATTTTGGATATAGTGAATTGTTTACTTGTTTCCAAATCTAGCAAATCCTTCACTTCGGCCTTTCGTTGCTCTAGCCAAAAGCCAATCACATAACGACAACATGGCAGACCGGTCCCTCACCAAGAAATGCGGTACGTTGAGCCTCTTCAGTACCCCTCCTAAACGCAAAGCAAGAATAAGCTAACAGACTTTCACTTGCAGGTGTCCTCGGATGCACAGGCTCGGTTGGCCAGCGATTCATCCTCCTCCTCGCCCAACACCCGACCCTCAAGCTCCACGCCATCGGTGCCTCGTCCCGCTCAGCTGGCAAGAAGTACAAGGACGCCGTGCGGTGGAAGCAGGCCTCCCCCATGGGAGAGATTGGCGAGCTGGTCGTACGAGAGTGCAAATCGTCCGAATTCAGCGACTGCGACGTCGTCTTCAGCGGCCTGGACTCGGACGTCGCAGGCGAGATTGGTATGTGGCGCCTTGAGAAGGAGGGGTTTATGTCAAAAGCTAACCAGTTGATTTGATCAGAGATGGAGTTCGTCAAGGCCAACATCCCCATCTTCTCCAACGCCAAGAACTACCGCCGCGATCCCCTCGTCCCCCTCGTCGTCCCTACCGTGAACCTCCCCCATCTCGACCTCATCCCCCACCAGCGCTCCGTCTACGGCCTCGAGAAGGGCTTCCTTGTCTGCAACTCCAACTGCGCCGTCATCGGCCTCGTCATCCCCTTCGCCGCCCTCCAGGCCGCCTTTGGGCCCATCTCAACCGTCAGCATCGTGACCATGCAAGCCGTCAGCGGAGCTGGCTACCCCGGCGTCAGTAGTATGGACATCATCGACAACGTCGTGCCCTTCATATCAGGCGAGGAGGACAAGCTCGAGACCGAGGCCCGCAAGATCCTCGGCCGTGTCGACGACTCCAAGACGGCCTTTGTGGAGCAGGAGGGCCTCCGCGTCTCTGCTGCGTGCAACCGCGTCCCGGTCATGGATGGTCACACGGCATGCGTGTCGCTCAAGTTCGAGCGCCAGCCCGCCCCCTCAGCTGAGCAGGTCAAGGAGGCCCTTCGTAGCTACACGACCGAAGCCCAGAAGCTCGGTTGCCCCTCAGCCCCAGAGCCCGCCATCAAGGTATTTGACGAGGCCGACCGGCCCCAGCCCCGTCTGGACCGTGACCTGGGTAAGGGCTACACCGTAAGCGTGGGCCGCGTACGTGAGGATGAGGCTGGCATCTTTGACATCAAATTTGTTGCTCTGAGCCACAACAGTAAGTTAAGCCCTCTCAGCAATTGGAACTAATGTGGTCAACTAACTTTATAATACTAGCCGTCATTGGTGCCGCGGGTTCTTCCATCCTAAATGCCGAGGCCGCTATCCTCAAGGGGTATATATAAATTTTTACTAAAGTGACAAAGCAGATGACGAAAAATTATTAGGGTAAAATCGGAGTTCAAAATACAATCAAACCTAGGCCTATCCCCAATCCTTCTAGTGATGTCCATCCTTGTCCTTGTTGATGAAGTCTATTCAGATTGATTCACGCTGCTCTAAGGGGACCAATATGTAAATCGCGGCTTATAGTCGTGGCAAACCGAAGTTTTCTACTCGAATCCAATGTCGTCGAGTGAAAGCTTTTGATGCATGGATGGCTATATCAGAAGCGTCCCGGACGCCAAGGTAAAACCAACATTCGAAAGGAGTAAAGGTGCCACTGAAAATAAGACTATTGCCCCCATCCAATTCCCGTGATATCGTGCCTGCTTGATCCCTAGCTCCATACACCATTCATTATACGCCTTGCACCCAAAAAAAGAAAGAAGGGGAGAAAGTTCCTTCGCGCAGCAGCGTTATCCCAGAAGCAGCAGTCAGCCGACACTAACCAGAGTGCCGGGATAACAAAACATAAAGAACACAATAGAGGCATTATCGAAGGTTGTCATCGAGAGTATGTTACTGCGGCCTTAACGGCCGTTGATATTCCTGGACAGTATATTTAACCAGCTTTCTTCCTGTCGAGTATCGCTCTGTTCAGAGAGGATGCCTTGCTCTGGGTCTGGGTCTGGTGCGATAGGACGAGAACTTGAGCCTTCGGCAACGGCTTCATCATCGCTACTGTCTTGGTAAGGATCATAGCGATTGCCTGAAGACGAGCTGTGGGCAAGGGAGCGGACAACATCTCCCTTACAAATGGGGCATGTGCGGCGACGGGTAGTCAGCCATGGAGTTCTAAGAATTGATCAGTCAAGATTCTTCACAGGACCAAATAGGTCGAGGCTTATCCTTGTTGCAACTTACATGCAGTCAGCGTGGAACTCGTGCCCACATGGGAGACTCATTACTCGGCTGATACCGTCGACATACTCCTCCAAACAGACCACACATTCAACCTGACGACTCATATACTTCCGCCACTCTGGGGAAATTCCAGTGAACTTCTCGTGTTCGCCTCTACCGCGCGATGGTGAGCGGTGAGCAGGCGCTGTCGACCCTGACCCTATCAAATTCTCACTTTCCAGCACACCAGTCGTAGTCCGTGATCGAGGTCTGGATTGTGATGAGCTCTGCTGCAAGAGCGGAGTGGATGGTGAGGTACTGCTTGGAGAGGGTAATCTGGTGGACGGGGTAGGGGAGGCAGCCACGGTATGATAGGTTCGAACTGGAAGGCGGTCAACAACCGACTTTGGTGCTCTCCATCTTCTTCTCCGAATTCTAGCACGGAGGATGAGCAGAGCATAGACAACCGTCAGAGTAACCAGGGGGCTGATAACCAAAACCAACAATGTGTCGAAAAAAGGGCTAGCACTGCTCGTCGGGGTAATAGTAACCCAGAGCCCTTCATGAGGTTCGTGCGCAGGATCTTTGGGGGCAGGGGGCTCCTCGACATCATTTGATTTGTCTTGTAACAGCGCTCTCTTCCCTCTGCTCTCCTCAGTCTCGTGGCGGGTACCAAAGAGTTTAGCGATAAAGCTTCGGCGCTGTTTGCCCTCCTCAGATGATGAAGACCGCACCTTTGAAGAGACTACCCGTGCAGGGCTGTATTCACCACTGCTGGGCGTAATACTGCCACCCTTAGGTAGATGGGCATAATCCAATGCAGAAGGTGTCTTGGAAGTACCAGGGACCTTATCAACTGGGGCACTTCCCTTTGGTTTGAGAAGATCAGGATCCCGCCAATCTTCGACACCAATCACAAAGCCATCGGTGGAAGACTTGGAACTTCTTCGGGTTCTGTCCATCGTTTCTTTGATCACTCTGTCCCCTTCCTCGTTCCAATCCGTAACCATCACCCAATCGATGCGCCCACTCCTGGGTGGCAGGCTCTTGTCATCAATGGAGCGAGATGGTGAACTAGAACGGAACATCCGAGAAAACCACCCCCTGTTGTCCAACCGTTTCGAGAAAGGCTTTTCATCTCTTGCAAAAAGAGAGGCCTTGTCTTCCACGGGCTTGGAAGCGGTTTTTGTTTTCTTCGTCGGGGTCTTCCCAGGCTTGGACCTATGTTGAACTTTGAGCACGGGTCTCCCACTGTCGTCCAGCGAGTCTTCAATGAAGCTGCCAGGCTGTGTCAGGGATGAGAGTAAATGCGCTGTGGTTCTCGCCGTGAAAACGGACGGGATTGTGACATTATCCACATCGTCGCCATGGGCGAACATCTGAATGAGAGGTCCGCCCTTTTGGTTGTCGCCCACAATCACGGCGATGGCACCCCTCCGCTGTGCCCACATGACCTTCTCCAAAAATCCACACCCACCACGCATCAGGAGAACAACCTTGCCCTGTATCTCTGCGGCTTCTTGGATTGATTGGATATCGGCATGGGAAGACGTCTTCAAGCCATCGTGAAGATAGTCGTCTGTACCATCGTTGGGAGAAGCTCCACCTTCAAGCTTCGACTTGAGGCTGCTCTCTCTGCTATTGCGGTCAAGCTTATCGCTGTCGCTGCGTTTGGGGAGTTTCGACTTGGATTTCGAGCTCGGAAGTCGAGAGTTCATAACTGCTTCGATATCTTTTAAGGAGGTTCTCTGGTTTGTGCCATCCCAGCCCGGTAGGTCGCTGCACCCAAGCTCGCCCTCCCCATCAACACTATCTTCGGGAAAGCCGCTCCCTACCCAGAGTTGACCGCTCAATCCGGCTCCGTCCAACTTACCGCCGAAAGCCGCCGGGCGGGCCGCAAAGGTAGTGCTATTGTCATCCGTTAAGCTGATGGCTGCATTTGGAGGGAAGAGCGAGAATGGGGTGTTGTAGTAAAGGAAGCCCCAGATTGATTTCTCAGATCTGGTGCGAGTGGTTGGAAGTGGCGAGGCACCGGCACGAGCAGACGAGGATACGGCGCGCGCGAGGAGGAACAATGAGGAGGCGAGGAATAGGATGAGGATTACAATGCGAGGAGTGCGCATGGTGCCAATGATCGGAGGTATGGCAACGGGGACCCGTTTGCCAAGACCCAAGCCCGATAAGTAAAGACAGTGAAGGTGACTGACGATGGGTGGGAGATCGTGAAGCCAGTCACCTCACCAACGTGTTGACCAAAGGGAGTATATAGCTGTCATCGAGCTCCGTCTATCGCGGGGCCTTTGGGTTTTGGAATGATGCCCAGCGCGACGCTGCGACTGCGGCGTTGAAGCGATCAGATCAGCAGTCGTCCACACGGGAAATGGGTCCCCTCGGGCGCAATTAGGCAGGCAGTAGATGCACTTAGTACGTCAGGAAATACAGATGAAGGCGCCGGAAACGAGGGCGGAACGGAACACAACACAAGGAGACGATGCTCAAGGGCGAGAAATAGATCACTAGGCTTTGTCGGAGTCTTGAATGAGGATGGAAGGAGGAGGAGAAACACTGTGAGGTGAGGAGAATGAGGTGACGTGCAGCGTGCCTCTTGGCCTGGGATCACAGTGGGGTACCGCCCGACCTGATACTGCCCGCCGGAAGGGAGGGGCGTTACGCAACCTTACTGTCTAGCGCAAGTTCCAGGCGGCATGCCCCAGCTGCCCAGCCTAGACCCTCCTGGACCGCAGCATCTGAACAGGGCATGGCACCGATGAATGCGCCTGAAGGATGGAATGATAAGACAGACGGCCCGCGTGAGGCCTCCCCAAAGCGTCTGGACGTCCACCATCGCTCTGCATCGCTAGAATGTGCTGTCACAAGGCGCGGCAGTAGGGAGAATTAGCATGGCAGATGATGCCCATGACAGGACCACATACACGCAGGGTCCAGTCATTGCTGGAGCTAGGCCAGTTGCAGTCTTGTCCTGGTGATGTGAGGTCATTTAAGGTACTACTACGCCTTGGCGTCGCAGTGCAGTCCAGCCTTATCACTATCTACTTTTTCATGTCCCGCGCCAGTGATTTTCAGAAATATGCAGAACATTACCATTTCACTTTGTATTTCGTGAATTTTGTGTAAGTTTCTTTTAGTTCAGTTGCCTTTTTTTTTCCACATCACACATCATGCAGCCTCGGGCTAGGTGGTTTGTAACTTCGGAAGTAGGGGCCCTCACATGACAGCTTGGGAAGTTGCCTCTTACATGTCGCCATCATGCCATCGTGACCCTATTTTTGCTCCCAAATTGACGGCCCTCGCCGATGGCATACACTTGAAAATTATAAATGCCGCAGTAGTGTATAATTTCGTTACAGCACAGAGATCAGAAATAGACAGGTTCCTAGATCGCAATTCCACACTCAAAAAGATAGTAAATGGATATCAGATGACGTACCCAACTTGTTAATACCTCCGTGTGATACAATTTTCCATTTCGTTCTGATCGGTTGGAATCCCCTCCAAGTCAGGCCCAGGTCTACGATAGAACCAAGATTATCAACAAGGTCTTTTGCCCTGTCTTTGAGTCATGGATATTTACGTTTGAAAGTCAATTGGGAGTCTATTGATACGCTTTGTGGTTTAGTTTCATCCATTCCGAGTCTCAGGTAGATTGGCATCCCTACCCTACATCACAAGCCCCATCTAGATGATAATATGGTTTGTTCAATGCGAATAAACTCGACCGCTTTTGAACACATATAATAATTAGTCCATGAGTTTTTTTTTGGTTTTTTTCCACAACGATGATAGATTTCGTATTAGTGACGGCAAATCACGGCCCTGCTAATAATTTCATATTCTCATCAACTAAAACACAAATCAAGTACCCATGCAAAGGGAGTAATCTCTAATCCAAGTAAGAAATGCCAACTATGAATGCGAACGCTTATATCTATATGGATGCGAGTAAATGCCGGACTTCACAGGTTAATGTCAAAATCATCTTCCTTCCCCTTATCCCAAACCCTCTTCTCCCCAGCCTGGGACCATCTCACATCCTCCGCAAGCTTCTCGCCTCCAGCCTGCAATTTTTGAATCTGTGCTTCTCCGAAGCCAGCCGATCGCAACCGCGCTTCTTGATTTTGTTTCAGTTTCTGTCGGTCCCTGAAAGCTTCAAGAGCATTATCCCAGTCTCCCCCCTCCTCATCATCCATCTGCACGTCGGTCTTGGGGTCGTAGGTCTCCGAGAATCGGCGATCTATGCCCGAGGAGCCCGCCAAAGCACCTCGGCCCCGGGGCTGGGGAGCTGGCATTGGACCGACAAGTTCATCCGCAGAGTCCGAGTCTCTCTGCGGAGATTTTCCCTGTCGCTTCGCAGATGTATCCCGCACGAGAGGGGAGCGACTCCTATGTCGGTGCTTCCGTCTCTCTCTCGATCGTGACCTCCGCCGGGTCACCGGCGAACGAGACCTGTGTCTTCTCCTTCGACTATGGCGATGCCTCTCATCATCTGAATCGGAATCGCGATCCCTTTCCCTCCTTCTTGACCGTCCCGATTCCGGGCGTGTCCGGTCACCACGGTCGTCGTAGTCACCATCTAACCTCCCATGTCTTCTCCTGTCATCATGACGGTCCTTGATTAAATCCTTTGACTGTGTCCTGTGGCTGCTTTCGCCGCTGGCCCCACTTCTGTGTCTTCGAGAGTCTCGACTTCCCGAGGACGACTCGCCGTCCTCGGTCGGCCTGCGTTTCTTGCCTCCCAGGATCGCATGGATATCGCCCAGCTGTCGCCGTCTGATGTCATGTGAATTTGGGTTGCTTTTCAGTCGCTTCACTTCTTCCGAATGCTCTAAATCCTCCAATCGAGCCTTTGATTCGGCAGCTTCCTTGGCGAGTAGCGCCTTGTTGTGAGTATCGGTGTCCTTGATGATGTGTCGGAGGAATCGGGTGTTGGGTTTCGGCAGGTTTGCAGGCCTTTATAGGAAAAAATAACTCGTCAAAACCAGTCGGGCGGTTGGGTTTGATCTGTAGCTGCTTACTTTTTGTTTGAGCGAAAGGCCTCCATCCCCATGGCCGAATACTTCAACGAGCAGTCTTGGGCATCCTTTGCCAGGAGCTCCGCGACGTAATCGTCGGTCAGCAGCTCATGGTTGGCCATGGCGGAAAGTTGAAAAGCAGTCGCGGAGACCTCTCACCCAGAGATGTATAGGGGAGAATAGGGCGAGCCGCATCTATGGCTGATGTGTTGTAATTCCAACGTGGGATGTCTGAGCAGGAATCCAGCCTGGATCGGCTTTTCTTGCGCCACTGCCTCGGATGTCGCTGACTGCCTTGCTGATGATCCGATAAAGAAATTCCGATAACGGCCCCCCACACTAACCGCATTTAGTTCCAAGTAAACATCCACATGTCAAATTGCGCGTGTGCCATTTGGCTCAGTTAACATCATTTCAAGAGGGTGCTTCAAAAGAAGCCTGGGAGTCGCAACGTACAGGAAACGACCACAAGAGACCCCCCGAAGAGTTCCATTTCGACCAACAGGGCGCGACATCGAACCTCACGGCATCATGGACTTTGCAAAGGCGGCCAAGGTCCTTCGCCAGGTGGAGGACCTCCAGGCCTCACAAGACGTCAACATCATCAAATTGAGCGAACCCATTTCCAGTTCGGTCCCCCAGGACGGGCGCTTGAGGAATTCAGATGCCTCAAGCGCCTCTCTCGACGCACCGACCCCAGCGAGTCTCGATGCCGACCTGGCACACTACAAAGAGCTGTTCGCGAAACTACGATTCTCGTACGTGGAACAGGTCACCAAGGAGAAATTCATCCGTGCGATTGTCGGCGACCCGCCATTGATCGTCACGATGCAAGAGAATCTGGACCTGGAAAAGGAAAATGCGGTAGCAAAGTCGGAGCTCAAGGCGCTGAAGCTGGAAATGGCAGACATGGTCGCAGAGCTGGAGCGCAAGGGACGCGAACTGAGCAAGCGATACGAGGCGATCCAGCTGGACACGATCAAGCTGAAGGAACTGCCAGAGAAGGCACGGGAACTGGAGGATCGCATCTCGCAGCTCCAGGCTGACCGGCAACTCAATGGATCAGACCCTATCTACAATCTGCCTTTGGGCAAGACGCAGGAGCTCATCAGCCGGAGGAAGCGCGAGCAGCAGGAGCTGGCGCGAGAGCTCGAGGCTCTCCAGTCCAAGGCTCCCCGGAAGAGAAAAGAGGTCGAGAGACTGCAGGCTGAGCTCCAGCCGCTGGAGGCAAAGCGGCAGAATAGCACAGCGGCGGCCAAGGAAGCCAGGAGGCGGAAGGAGGCAGCGCTTGGAGGGGTGGCTGATGATCTCGAGCAGAGAGCTCGTTGGTGGAGGGCCAGCGAAACTGTCCTAAAGCAGGTGCTGGACATCAAGACCTAAGGAATGGGATCAAAAATCCCCTTTGATGCTTTATGACCCTGGCGTGCGTGTGGTTTGGCGTTTTAGGAAGCATTGTGTTGATTTTGGGGGCAACTTTGGGTTATTGGAATGGGGGCAACAGTTTCATCTTACTGAACAACAGAGGAACTTTAGTGATTTGAATTTCTTTTGGAGTATTATTATTCAAGACACTGGTTCAAAGGCCCCAATTCTGTCGATGCCTACCAACAGATATTACCTTTTCTTCTCACGATCGGGAAAATTGACCCGACCGGCCCCCAAAGAACAAAATTCAATGTCCATTGAGCGAGCTTCGAATGGCTAGCTCTATCTGGATACAAGATTTGCCCATCTCAGAAGAGGCTGTAAATGCGCCACGTCATCTGGCGCAAGCAATCGCGTTAGCCAAAGAAGCCAGCCTGGGTTTCGTGCCACAGCCTCTCGACCTGAAATGAGACCGGTTTGAAGCCAAGATGAGCCAAGGCGAGCTCCGCCACATGGCCAAGAGGCTTGTTGCGGCGGAATTCATTCCACCTTACGCGTATTGCCTAGTACGGCGCCCCCGACATGCCAAATAGAAAGGGATGTACATTGACATTGCGTTTGGCGGTTGGCTCCCCTGGTCCAGAAATTGATACACACCCCAAGTACGTTACGGCAAACGCCCATAGCTGTCCCTCCCGCCAAGCTTCGAGGGGGGACTGTCACTGGACCTGGAACCCGAGACCGAGACCGTGCGGATTGGGCGTCACAAGTGCGTCCCAGCGAGAGCGAAGGACGGCACTTGGAGAGTCTAGAACTCGTCGCCCAATAGTATACACGTCCGACCGACATGTCTTTGCCTGCCTGCCCCGGACAACACAGAAGTCATAGACCTGACGCCAAGGGTAAGGTGAGACTAGGCGGGAGGCGGAGGCTGTGATAGACTTTTGTCTTCTTACTTCTTTTGGCGATGATTGATGCCATCGAAAGACGCAAGACGACAAGAGAGCGACATGATAATCTCGCGAGACAGGTCCAAAAGAGCCTTTTTCGTTGGCAGCATCGCCATGGCGGCGTTGGCAGGAAGCAGTAACAGTAAACAATGACAAATACCAGGCTTAGTCTTTGCATATGTACATTAATGTGACTATTACGATGTGCATTTCACAATAGCAACCCGGCACTTATAGTCTCTTAGTGTGCAGCACTGCAATGTCACCCACGTTGCATGGCAGGAAAAGAGCTTGGGTGAACTTGAACTGCAGCTTCCTGGCAGCATGATGCATCCTGCAGCCAACCTCAAGCACAAGTGTGGGGTGCGTCTATCACAGAATTGTAATACCTGCCAGTCTCCTCATCGCGACCTGTGAGAAAAGCCGGGCGATGCAATGTTCTCTGGAATGATCCTTCAGCTGCCTGTCTTCGTCGCTGGGAAGTGGGAAAGTTGGCTGAGCCACTGCCCACACGCGGACTTTTTTCGCGAGGCCATCACCGCAAGAAGGGCAACCGGGTCTCGTAATCCTCGCATTCGTTCTCGCCCAGAGTTCGCATCTCTCGCGACAGCTCGCGATGGCCAATCACGCAGCTCGCCCAAGATCTGGAGAGGTCTACCTATCCTTTAGCAGGGCCCGCCCCCTCACCCATCACACACCTGTCGGTTTGCGTGCACAGGTGGAGAGGTGCTACGATTGGTTCCTTTCCTCTCCTCTCCTTGCTTTTTCTGCATGTTTCAGCAGCGCACGTCTCTTCTCATCGTTGAGCTGTCATCTGTAATGTAATCATAGACGACGCCTGCATATGCGGGCGCCGTGCCAAGGTAACCGATCCCTCGCTACAGCATCCCAGAGTCTCATCCCCGCGCGCCCTGGACAGAAACATCATACGGTGCCCCCCAGGTTACACCTCCATCGGTTGAACCTTGACGGACGGTGGCGTTGCAGAGTTGGAGTGAGGAGAAGGCTACCGGCAAACATACGATTATCGCAATGCCGCTGCTTCCCTTCCCCCGCATCCAATGCCAGCCGGTTCGCCTCTGATAGGAGGTCGGCGACGGGCGGCGCATTTGCATTCCCACCCGGCGGCCTCAGCTGCATGCAGACGGCGACTGAGAGCAAAGTTTTGGGCTAAACTGCAAGCAGGCCCTCCCAGCTGTGATGGATGGGGGGACGGCCCAGAGGTGTGTGTGTGTCTAGACGTGTGTGTGGGTGGGATTTTCCCAACGGTGCAGCCCCCAGGCACGAATGGCATCAAAGTCTAAAGCCCTCTGGGCCGATTCAACCCTGGAGAGGCACATGAAATGCAAAGCACGTGGCCACAGTAACTGGGCTATAGAAATCAGAATGGCGAGATGGCCTTTTCTCGTCTTCGCCTCCTGCGACGGTTCAGCTGGATGTCTCATTCATGGTGTCACTATTGTTCCCCTCGATCTGTCACTGTGGTTGTAATGCAGAGTTATCAAAGTTTTTTTTGAGTTCTGTGATTGGCATGATCCTGATGGATCAATTTCCGTTAAGCCGCACACTATCAGCTCGAGTCACCTGCTACTTGTCACCGCATCAAAGTTTGAATTTTCAGTCCACAGCCGTGATTGTGTCAATTTCCATCACAATCGCACTTTTGAGCAAGATGTCACCTGTTGCTTCGACACCAACATTAGGCTGGCATGGGGGCCCCTTGGGCTCCTGGCAGGCAAATGTCAAATTGTCCGTGCTTGTCGAGACCTTGACACGAAAGGTTAAATTTAATTATATGAACATCTTCATACCACCCCTGGCAATCTCGTAGTTGGGCCGGCCATTTGGGTACCCATCCAACGTCGAGGGATCTCCATGGCCGCATGTCGATCCTTGGGGAGGACACAACGGGTTTGAGACTGACGCGAGGTAAACGAGCCCACGCGCGGGAAGGGGACTGAACTGGCCTGAGCCAAAACAACCCGCAAGATGCTAGCCCGCGGTCCATGGCGGTCCATGGACAAGACCGCGCGGAAGCTACAAGACCCCGAAAAGCTCAGAGGGCAGGCTCCCGTAGATGGCTTTCGGATTCACTGTTAGGGCCGCGTAAAGTCCGCTGACTGAGCAGCGAAGCACCGCCCCCGAGTTAGCGGCCTTGGACCCCTGAGTTCGACGCCGCATCTAACGAGTCGACCCAGGATTGAGCGGTAGATCCTTTAATATCGACACTAGGAGGGTAAGTTTGAGCGCGCTGGGCATGGGCTAAGCCGGTACGGGGAAACAGTCGAAGAGGAGGCCGCTGAGAATAGACGCCTGGTTGCAAGGACCTGTGAGGACGGGACAGAAGTGGACCATCAGGGTAGGGCTTGGGTCATGGGCGGGATCAAAAGAATTCCCGAGTCCGGTCGCATTGGAAACTGAACGCCCCCGGAAGTCCCCAGCCGGGGTCGTGTCATAGACATCGAGAGAGGCCAGATATGCTTCTGATCCCGGGGCGGTGGAAACTGGAACTCAATCAATTGACTACATGCTTGCTCCCAGAGCAGAGCGGCCGTCCCCATTGTTAGAGTCTGGATGGGCGTACATCGAACCTACCTAGCTAAGGTAGGAAAGAAGTGATAACGGCTTGATGTGGGGGATACTGCCTCAAACGGCAACAGGTCTCGACTTTGTAAGCTGTTAGGGATTAATAATTTTTCGAGCTTTTTCCTCATTCTATTTGGAATCCATCCATCTCAAATCCACCTCCCATGCACAGGCCCGGCAGTCTCCACATCCGGTGATTTCTGTCATAAAATTATTCGGAGTCAGAGATGTGCGAAACCCGAAACCAAAGTCCGTGACCTACCACCGAAAGGGTAGATGTACAGCAAAAGGAGGTAGTACCAACTAACACCTTTGGTTTCGCTCAAGCAAAAACAGAGTGCATGTTAGTGCATGTTAGTGTCTGGCGGAGCTTGCCGCCTGAGTCTTGTGCCCGTCATGTGGCTGCACAATTTACTTTTCTCTCCCCCCATCCCAAGCCAACCCAACGCCCTCTCCGCATGTCCGCTTGGGTAAGCAGGCCATCAAGTAAGCTGTGGTCTGTGTGCGGGCGCCGAAAGGGAGGGGGGTCCCAGCGATGAAGTCAGGCACGGCGCAGTGGGGGAAAGGGCATCGAGGGAGGCGATTAGCCTATTCGCAGCTATCAGCGGTTATCTGCTGCAAAGAGAAAACTAAAAACCCTACGATTGCCTCCGCTAAAACTGAAAAGCCTGGAAAGGGAAGGGCATTCGAGCGAGCGTCAGACCTGTGCCGTGAAGCCGTATTGCCGTGCACCGGACTGTTGAGCTCGCAGCCTCGCGCACCCACGGAGGGCCGTGGTGACCCCTGCCCTGTACATACTTACCTAGATTTCCAATGCTGGTGGAAGAAGCTGGTGGAAGTTTGGAGGTCATTGATTTGAGCACGTCCGTTGCTGTTGTTTAATATCGACACCCCCTCCCCCCCTTGCCGTGATGCTCCACCACCGCAACCACCTTGTTCAGTTTCCGCCCACATCGATATCGGCACTACTGCATCAGACCAGCAAGTCTAATTGTGCGTTCAAAGCGGAGCGGCGGAGCGAAATGCATGGGTGATGTGATGTATGATTGATTGCAAGTACATGACCAGGGGAGGGGGATGGGCCTGGCTATCGTCAATCGATGGCTCATGCCGCAATGCCGGCTGTTGATATGCTGGTGCGAGCAAATACGATAGCGCTACCGGTCTGTAAAGCACAGAAGTGTTGCTATCAATCAATGTCCATGACGTGTAAACCAGGGCGAACAAGCGGCGTGGTGTTAGCCCTGCTTTTCTCCTCCAGCGTCAGTGCGTGTCTCTCCAAGCCACGCACGTACCGGCATTTGGAATGTGCCAGGAGAGACCAATAGGCCTGAGTTTATGCGTCGAGGGGTAAGGCGGTGTCGTGGACGCTTGACAAGCCCGCCAGAACTTTTGGTTTCGTCACATACTTGGGGTTTACTACTGAGTGGGGTTCAGAGAGTGTTTCAATTTTTCCCATTGTATTTGGTCCTGGATACGCACTCCTGCGTGCAAGATCCTGTCTATATAAAAAATCGCTGGTAATAAATGTTCACAGGCGATGAAGAATCCCCCCCAAAATTTCATTCCAATTGTACAAGGTAGAGGAAAGGCCCGAATTAATAATGTCATCGCCTACCCCAAACGCCGTGCGATCATGTTGCTTTGTGTATGCAAGCCCACCTTGACCACAGGAAAGAGAGAAAGTAAAGAAAAAAGCCCTGGAAGAGAAGAATAGCGTAGTTTCATCAAGTCGTTTTATCCCCAAAACCAGTAAGCCCTGCTCTTGTATTTTTTTTCTTGTTTTTCTTTTTTAATTTCTTTTTCCTTTCCGAGATTCTCGTTTTTCCATACTCGGTTCCTCGGACCCAATTACAACCCCGAGAGCTCATTTTCGTAGCCCGAATAGATCATCGGATCTCCCATACCCATCATTACCTCCGGATTAGGACACGACAAAACGTGAGGCTTGATGAAGCCGAATTCTGATTCGAGGATACCCTGGTTCAACATTATCTGGCGTTGAAGGTCGACAGTGACACCATCGATATTGTGCATGAATGGCATGGGCATACTAGTGGCGTTCGTCGTAGGCTGAGGCTTGGCTGGCATTGCCCACGAGGGGAAGTTGGCGACCTGTGGTGATTGAGAAGGGAACATGGCTTGTGAGTCCAGCTCGGCGCCGCCTGCCTGGCCCAATTCGAAGTCGGTATTGCACGAGGTGAAGCTCTGGGGAGATAGCGTCATGTGGTTGGTGTTGTGGCTTCCAAAGGCGGCTGCTCGGTAATCAGGTTCGAAGTCGGAGTGGTCGAGTTCGGAAGACGAGGCCCTCTCTGCGCGGGGCTGACTTGATACTGACGAGTCGGTGTCCTTTGATTCCTTCTGCGTGTCCGTCTCCAGTCGTTGTTGTTCCTCAAGCTGGGCGGCCAACTCCTGCATACCTCTTTCATCTTCGGGGAAGACCGAGTGGACGGGTAGGTCGATGTCGCTGTTAGGTCGGATGCAACCAAGCTTCTGTGCAATGTCGTGGATCACTGGTTGCCCACGGTCGTTGAGCTCGGGCTCGCCCATCTCCCAAGGCTGCGAATTCCGGACCATGCTGTAGAGCTTATGTACAGTAGCTATCAACGCGAATTGAGTGTTCTCAAGAACCTCGGCGTATCTGTTAAAGAGTCAGCACAATTCTAGATGGGGTTTCTTTGTGGCGACGTACCCCCTAGGCAGTTGCTTGTATTCCATCTTCTTCCTCACACCGGCAGTGCATACAAGACCATCATCCTTGCATCGTTTACAAGGGAATTCACCATCGCACTAAACAGAGTCTCTTGTTAGTTAAATGGTTATAACATAAACGAGTATACGACTGATGAGACGTGCCTTTGTTTTCTTCATTCGACACCGCTCGCAAGCCTTCCAGACTCTCTTATGACGACCGTCCATGCCGGTGGTGTGAGCTACCTGCTCGTGGTGATGGGTGACGGCGGCACTGGAGCTAGCTCGCTTGGATACCCGATGTACAGGCTTCACAGACTTGCTCGACGACGAGCTCTTTCTTGAGGAAGGAGATGCTTTTGACTCTTCAGCCGGAGGCGAAGGTAAATTATGTGATCCACCCATTGCAATGTCTGAGTCTAGTGATTCTTGGATAGGAATGTGAACCAGATGTACGGGAGAAGTGGGATGAGGAGATGACCCAGGCAATTATTGAATGGCTTATTGTGTAAGTGGACAATGAAACACCAGTAAGTAATCAAAGGGGAGACCCGAGGGTTTGGGAATGATTCACATCAGATGTCCCAGAGGAGGGAAGAAGGAGAAGGAGGGGGGATGTAAGTGGTGAGAAGGGCTTGGATGGATGGATGGGACCCGGAGGTATATACGTAGAATTGATACAAGACAGCAAGGGGAGTAAGTCTTCTGAAAGCTCGATTGATTTCTTGGAGATGGAGCAGGGTTTAAGAGAGATATGAAAGGCGGAGCAGTTATGTCGCCGCACGGAACAAGAAAGAGGTACATACCGACCTACGGGCACACTCTCATGTACCTCGACAACAGGGCTAAGGAGGAGACAGATGCAGAGGGGGGGTGTCCATAGCGGACGGCATGTGGTTTATGTCCGAAGGAGCGAGTTGGCGCTCTGATCTGATTTTGTCCAGGTACGTGTCTGTACGTACCAGGCTACACGACCCGCCCGGCGAGAAAAACGCAGAGCTGCGACCAGGTTGAAGGGTGTTCTCCAACCGGGCGGGATTCGATGAAGCACCGCTGGCGTGGGTGGGGAACCAATGAAAAGGGGGGGCGTGGCAGAAGCGAGTGCGCTAGGATCCGAGCCAGTCACCCGAGCGGACTTTGAGCTGTGGAGGCAGCCGGCCGGCACCCACTGGGCATGTCGTTCAGCGTCTTGCAGCGCTGCCCTGCTACCCTCTGGTGCGCTGCAGCAGGAGTGGAGGGGTGCATGTGTGCTGCCTTGCGAGAGCCGCGCGTTGTCTTTTACTGGCCGCCCGTCTAGCTTGGGGGACCTGGTCGGCGGGATTGGTAATGCTTAATGCGGAGTCCGTTATTCTTGCTCATTATGGTGTTGTTGGAGCTGTTGCCTCACCCTGCTAGGGAGCGATACCACTGCTAGCAGCGTATATTATGACCCAAGCAAGCATCGCCTGGCTTGTGCATCTCGCCTGCTAGTAGGAGATGGATATGCCTGCACCGGCTGGGGATGACGGGGCCGCCATAGCCAGACTGCCGGGTTCTCGCTCCCTGGCGATGAGCCCGAGAGCGCAATTGGGAATATGCTCTGGCTTCTTCCGCGGTGGTGCTTATTCTGATGGTGGCCGCAGTAGTGATGATGACGATGATGATCATTTCCAGCTCGCTGCTGCGGGCGCGCGCGCTACCCCACCGGATGGTGAACCTTTTGTTATGTCGGGTAGGCGGCTTCACGACTCGGTGAGATGACTGCAAGCTGCTTATGATCTCGAAGAATCAGATCAAATAAGAGTGATGGGAGCTCCCCCGGCCAGCACGCCTTTCCCCGCTCGCCAATGCACATCGCATCTAGACAGGCCCTTCACGCATCTCTCAAGCAAGAAAGATCTGGCGAGCGCTCATGGGCAACCCAACCGCATAGTCACCTGCTCGTGCCGTGAGTGGACCTGGACTGCGGTGAGGACCGAGAGTCTTCGGTCCTTATTATGTGCAGGAAAGAGCTAAGAAAGCATAAACTAGCATGAGCATCATTATCCCCAGATTGGTGGCAAGAACGACTACACATCCTGCCTAGTACAGCCTTCAAGGGCCAGGATCGCGTCTCGTCATGGACCTCTGTCTCGAGGAAATGTGAAACAAGGGCACACGGTCAGAAAGCTTGGTCCTTTGCACACAGGGACTGCACTGCCTCTGTCGGTGACATTTTAAAGATTCCCATTGGTTATACGACTCCTCGTTGCTCACAAACATAGACATTGCTACATAGTACCCAAGTAGGTGCTTACATGCACCTCCTAGCAGCGACCGTGTGACAGTCGCCCTCGTTTATTAGAGTATTCCTGGTAAGGCTTGGAGGGGTTACTCCAAATGCATCTCGTCCGCTCTCGTCCGCCGCCTCAACGGGTTCGACCGAAAACTCGGCCCAAGTTGCTGCCCTCGTAGGGCTCAGGGTCCCCGAAGTCCACGGAGGTGCTGTAGAGCGAGCGATCATCAGGGGCAGGTGGCTGGTGATCACAAATCCAGGCCTCCGTTTACAAATCAATCGCCCTGATCTCTCAGCATGTATCCATACCAGCGACGGAGTTAGGGATATATCCAGTGCACCACCACTGTGGGTCAGTCCCGGCGGGATTTGATCTGAGGGGGGTGTCAAGCATCCATCCACAGGTTCAGATTCACGTTGCTCTATAACTCGGCCGCCCAAAAGTTTTTGTTTTTTTCTCGGGGCTCGCTCCACTGAGATTGAAAGCAGCTAGCTTTGAATAAGCGGACTGGATCAAGGGCTTCACAAAGGTCGACTAACACAAGCCACCTACCGACTACACGCTGGGATGGAGGTGTCTCTGCCGTGCAGTAAGCATTTGTGATCCCTCCGCCCTTCAAGTCATTTCCGCTGTGACGAATTACAAATCAGGACGGCCACCTCTCACTGAATTTGAGTCCCTGCTAACTGGGTAGCTGGCACAAGCGACCACTCCATTCCGCACGCACGGCGACACCTAAAACCACATGGGGACCACCGTCCTCCATCTTTTTAGAGAAGGAGGCTTGCAGATACAGCTGGTCGGGACCCTGAGAGGCCCTGATGCCTGAACCCTGTTTTTGGTCCTGGCGGCCATGAGACAAGTCATATCTATCGGCCAGCCTTACCATCGCGAGTCCGTGAGCGAGCAGAGTAGCTCAGCGGGCGCGCCCAAACTCTAGCTGTCGGGCGATGGCTTTATTATGCTGATCGACGGCCGTGCAAAGGAACATGTCGAATCGGGTATTCACCTTGACGATGTAGACTGACATGTTTTAGCTTTTTTGGCGGGGAGCGGGCCTGCAAGCTCCTAGTCCTGATCCTAACACCGTTCTGACACCCGGACTTGAGTAAGAGCCGAGTCCGAGTCGGGATTTTATGGCAGTCATCGATTGAATGTCCTGGCACCAAGGGACCAGTTAGGCTCCGTTTGGGCAATCCGTGAACCCGCCCAACAGAGAGTTCTGTGCTGTGTGGTGGTTTCCTGTGCTGTGTTGTAGTGTGGTGTTGTCCCCGTGCAAAGTGCCGTCATACTAGAAGGTCCCGAGAATCGGGAAACGGTCATGCATATTCCCTCCCCTTTCCCCAGTGTATGCCAAACATAATGCTGACGGTGTCACCGAACGCCATTCTATTTGGGTTCACTGACCAGAGTCAAAATCAACAAGGTGCAGCCAAGTCGCTCCCCGGACAATTCGACGAGGGGCACACGTTGGAAACATCGCCATGAGGCGATCCCTGCAACTCGGTTGCCAAAAACAAAGGAGACAGGGCAGGGCCACCGCACGCTACGAGCTGGTTGATCACGATCTTCTAATTCTGACAGTGCATGGGGGTGCAGGGTCCAATTCTTCGCCAGGATGAGTCAACATGGGCCACAACGCTCAACTCGAAGCCTCAGTATTTTCTCTCGTCCTATGTTGTCCTACCGGCGCCACTTAGCTGCTGATAGCAACCGGACCCTAACAAAATGTGTCCGGGACTATACCCACAAGGCATCGGGCGTGAGCCACATGCACAAGCGGATGGAGGGAGTCTCGGAGTGTATTCGCTGTGATTGGGCTTTTGTCAGCGGGAATCATGGAATTGGCATCCACCACTTCGAATTCCCCATAACACTAATTGTATGGGACCATGTAGTGTGTGTGTGAAGGCGCCCAATGCAAAGGCAGCAAAGCCCTTTTTGCTGGCCGCTTCTTGAAGCCCACGCCCCTACACCCACATCTGCTCTGTAGTATCCGCCCTGACAAAGAAAGGCGGGATTCCGCTTCTGGTTGCACAACTTCTGCATCTGCGCTGCCATTTATAATCAGCAAGCCATACCGCTGTGCGCCTGCAGAGAACTTCTCGAAACGGGCGTATGGCGTATGAGTGACTCTTCCTCCCCTCCTTTTCCCCTCCCCAGCATTTCCCTTACCTTTCCCTTTCGTACCAGATCAGATCAACCAGCTAGCGTGTGTATTGTCATCGCTCCGACTGAGCCCTTTGTCAGCGGAATTACGGCAGTTTGCCTGCTCCACCGGCTGTTTGGTTGCATTTCGTCTGTCCATCCACAGCAACTAGGTCGCTGCGGCCCGGCAAGTCGCATCAACCCTCACGACCAGGGATGATGGATAAGCGGCTCTCGTTCTTGTGGGAGAGCGGGCCACCATATGCAGTAGGGTAGCTACGGGCGCACAACTCTGGCGCGAGAACGATATATCCCCGGCGACTCCAACCGGGCTTAAGCAAACTCCTCAGTGGTCAGTAGGGCTGGATGACGTTCTGCAGCTTCGGTGCCGCGATCGCAGTGCCGATTCCGCTCGGCACATGAGTCGTTTTCTCTCTCGAGGTTGAGACGACCAGTACCACCCTGCAATGTAGGTTGCCATGCACTTCGCAGCAGACACAGCATCTACCTGCGCAGAGCATGGGTCTGTGTAGCACAGTCCGTTGCGAGGAGGGCCCCTTGAAAGCACGGCTGGTTCCGAAGTGGACATTTGTTGGGACCCGAATGACGCACCCCGTTCATTATTGATTTCCCACGTGTCTCCGCCGAGCGGATTTCAGATGGGAGGCGAGGAAAAAAACGACGAGAGATCAAGACAGAGCTTCGATAGCCTTTCTAGAAGACTTGCTATCTGCAGCCGGATCGCTTCCGGCACTGCAGCGTTCCAGCGCATCAGCCACCCCCGTCCATCGTATGAGCAACGGTGGCTGCGGTCTCGCTCTCGGTTTACGGCACTTGCTTGGCCACCGTTTTCCTCATCACGCACCGAGAGCGAGCTCACACAGGTTCATTCCAGCGTTTGTCACCGCCCGCTTTTTTCTCTTCTACTGTTGTATTTTTCCCTCACTGTCGTCACTTCACACTGCATGGTGGTTTTTGGATATTTCGCTCTCGGGAATTTCTCGCTTTCCTATGTAAACCCGTCCTATTCTCATTGGGCGGGACTGGAAATCCAACACGTAAAATGCCGAAGGGGGGGGTGCTGGATTGCCCGCAACACAAGCAGGGATCGCCCCTTCGCGACTTCGAAACGTCCCGATGCCGCGTTGCATGAAATCTCTAGGTGACATGTCTTGGAGCCAGCCAACCTCGCGCCGAGCCACAAAAGCAGGATTGCGATTGATTATCGGCGCCGACCACCGCTCCGTTTCTTGACAAATGCCTCACGGGGAAGGGGAACACATGACAGCCTCATCTCATCTCCAAAGGGGGCCCTTGCTCTCTCCTTCTGCCCTACTACTACGTCGTTTGGGGGGAGGGCTTGTACTGGTACCATCTCCTCCACCCCCCGTTTCTTCCTTTGGGATCACCAGGAGGCCACATGATAAAATTATCATCCTTGCCTTGCGAGGATGAATGAAGACACATAACACACGCCCCCTCTTCTTGGGCTCCTTTTACCCCTTCATCTCAAAAAAATCTGCCAGAAGCATCTTAGGGATCTCACCGCGGTATCCGTGGACTTTCCGCGGGGCGTATGACAACCTTCTAACCTCTTGGGCCAGCCTCATTTCCGTCTCGGGGTTTGGCTTTGCGATGGCCCTTCCCAACCCTATTGCCCTTACGGGTCCGTCAAAATGCCGAGGCCGGCCCACTTGGTGAACCCTTATAAGCTACATAGTATGAGAGGCATTGAGGTCTCGGCCGAGTCATTACGTAGTTTCCCTATAGCTTCCTTCGTAACTACGGCCATGTCAAAAGCCCGTCGCTGTACGACCCACCGGATACCAAGATACTAACGGGACCGGCTCGGCCTCCCGTTGTGGGCTTCAGCTCAGGTCTATGAATCACGAGTCGCCATATTTCGCATGTACGTGGAACTTTGAACAGAGTACTATTACTTCTCGCTACTTATCTGAAACGGGGGGGCCATTCTGCATGAGCCAAATATGCTCCTCATACTTGTGCAGAAGCTAGAGTCAAAGCCGGAACCATCTCTTGGCGATTTGATGCCAAGTGCAAACAAGCCATGTTTTGGCGAGCCCACATGTGAATGCACACCCCATTCCGCGGAGCTTCCATCACAACAAGGGGATGATTGCCTGTGTCATCGGACGTCATGCTCTCGCTGTTTAATTTTCCCTCAATGATGCATTGGCGCGGTCTCGTCGCCGATTGCGAACCTACAGCTGCTCCTTGCGTTCCCTCGCTGACCGCGGGCCTGTCCCTGCAAGAGCAGCCCGACGGCCGTGATGCTGTTCGTTTGACGTCGGCAGAAAGAAACACACGCCCAATAGAAGGGTCGGTCTTCATGCAACGGGACGGAGACCCGTATTATATTGCCGAACTCCGACTTAAGGCTGGCATGACCTGTTTGCTATTTGCGATCAGACGGTTTCACGTGCTTCGCGGCCCGCAAGCTTCCACCCGGGAAATTTGCTGTAGTTGGAGAATGGAGCCCCCAGGTGAAAGATAGGGATATATACGTTGTTGAGACCGTAGATCTTTCAGCTCTCTCGCCCAACTTGCAGAGGAATCCCTGAGAGATACCGCGGTGGAGTTCTCATCAGCTCATGAAGCACGCATGATGATCGGTTTCTAGCCGAGAATCGATGTCTTGCGGCCGCTATCCACTTGATATATCAAGCAGATAGTGGGCGAGCCTGTGACAGTTACACATCCGTGTACAGGAGAAAAGGGGGTGTGTTATAACCACAGACTGCCCAGGCCCAGGCTGCGCTGGCATGGTAGGTGAGCAGAACGGCCCAGCCTTTGCCGTACGATGCTGGCGCGAAGAGTTCTGGATCGTGTCCTCGAACCTTCTCCACTGATTCCGTTGAGGCAAGCGCTAGAAAATGTTCTCGCCGGGCGTCGCAAGGAAGTACTCTGCATATCGACGACCCCCACATGCCGTGGTTAGCCTCATATATTCCATAACCTCGGGTCTACAGCCCCCTTTTGATAAGAATTTTTTTCACTTACAACGCGTTGCCGAACAGACCATGGCACAAGCTCGGCTCCTTGACCAGTATCCCGTGCCGCCAGATAAGCTCTCGTGCCTTCTCGATGGCGAAGTCAATGTCATCCTGATGGCGTGGGAAGTAAGGCCTCAAGGCCTCGAGGGAATAAATGAACCCAGGGGCACCGTGGCACCACTGGAGGAGCTTTGCCGGCTTACCCTCCCTCCGCTTCTTCTCGCTTGACGGCCAGTTTCCATCTTGCAGCTGAAGGCTGAGGAGATCCTCCAATCGCGGCGCCAGTTCGACCGCCAGGGATGGCACAGAGAGCACCAACTGCGTTATTATTCCGATCTCGCCATGGGCCGCTCCATAGTACCGCTTGCCATGCCACTCCCAGTTGCCCTGACCGTCGTCGTCGGTGCGCATGATGACTTCAGCTATGCGCAGGGTAGGGGACTCAAGGCACGGAGCAAACTCGGGAACCCATTGTTTGATCATACGGATGAGGTACAAAGTGCCAGCTCGCCCATAGATCATTTCAGACGGGAATGGGTCACCCTGCGAAGGTGGATACGGCCCTAGCAGGAGCGGCACGTCGCCCAGGAACCGCTTCAGGTGGCCCAAGTCCTTTGTCAAGCAGCAGAGGACGGCCAGGAACGAGAGTCTCTCGGAAGCCAGACCGCAATTTCCACTCTCCAGGACGAGGCTTCCACGGTCCCCATCGAGGTAGCGTTCGGCCCAAAATCGGAGGTTGTGCCCCATCACAGTCAGGTCGGGGTGGCCGGCTGAGAGCCGGAGGAAGAGGTAGGCCAGGCCGGTATAGCCGCTGAACAGACCCCCTAACTCTCGATTCGAGTATGATTTCTTTGGGGGTGTGTTTTTGAGAACTTGCTCAAGTGAGGCTTTCATGTTCTCCAGGGGAGACGAGGCCAGGAATTGGACCCGCATGTTGTTGGAAATATATCGTTGTTCCATGGTTTCCATTGTGAAAGGAGGAGAGCGGAGCGGTTCCTGTCTCCCTTCTCCAATATTGTGGCCTTTTTTACGTTTGGTAAGTTTTTTTGCCAGAAGTAGAGCTATGACGGCGGACGGTAGGCTGATAATATTGGGGGCATATGGCCAGATATTTAAATCACAAACATAGCAAAGAGATAATAGCCGGAAGTAATGCCCCGTGACAACTTGGGTAGCGTCCGGTTCCCATGCTAATCACAGAAGTTGAGACGGGATCGACACCTCTGGGCAGATAAATAGGCTAAGGTATGGTGTATCCAGGGACCAGTTTCATGATTCAAGCCACGGAATGGCCAATGACACCAAGGCTGGACGTGGACGTTCACAATGGCGTCACTAAGATTGGGATTGGCTCGGATCCCGTGAGCCCCTGAGCTAGAGGATGCAGGTCAGAACAAGGAAGGGAGCCTCCCCCAGAGTCGAGGATGATCAAAACGATTACCGCACCGGTGTGGGGAAGTTTGACGTGACCCGTCACCATGGATGGGTCAATCGGCGCCGGGTGGGGAACGAATCACCACTGTCACCGGGGTCCAGGACGGTGCCTAGCCCAGGCTACGTCGAACTATTGGATGCACGCGATGCGTGAGATCAGCAAGGCCTTTCGATGTGATGATGCAGTGACCCTTCGATCAGAAGATGGTGCCTGCATCCGCGCTCGGCGCTGATGCTGGAGCTGAAGCTGAATCAGGGCAAGACACACCAAATTGTGCTCCTTCCACCCGCCAGAGACGGTTCCAGCGCACGGACCACATTTCCGTCAGGAGCGAGGTACGTACCGATGATGTCTTACAGCTCGTCCAGTCCAATGACGACATTGATACTGTTGATGCTCGTCTCGTCTCATCCTCCTCCTCCCTTGCGATCTCGATCCAGCTGGTGAACTGCCCTTGGTGCCACCATCCCAGCCAGAGACCAGAAGATTATCAGTCACACGACAATCTACTCATCTGCCTCTCACGCTCTCACATCTCAAACCACGCCTCAACAAATCCTCTTCCCAGTCATGGCTGACCCAGCTCAATCCTCTGGCCAAGCCTCCAAGGGGAATCGGATCGTAGACTCCGTGAGAAATAATGCCCAGGATGTCATGTGAGCCGCTCCCTGGCACGTTCAGTGTGAAGCTTCTCAGTGCTGATTTGACCTCCCAACAACACAGCAAGGAGGACTTTTCCAAGGCCAAGACACTCGCCTTCGAAGCTGCCAAGAGCAGGGCATGGCTTTACCCGCTCAAGGTGCAGATCCTCGGTCTACCCAGCTGCTCTCCATGAGAGAGGCACCAGCAGCTGAACTGCCAGCTGACATGATGCACAGGGAATCGTCTATTTCGTTACCCATCGCTCGTTATGGAAACCATTTGTTTCACGATTACCCCAATATTTCGCCCTCTATGGTAGCGTCCTAGCCGGCATGTTCACATTTTCTTATCTCCCCCAGCTCGCGGTCCTTGTATTCGTGAACGGTCCCATCGCAGTGGTCAGCACCGTCCTTCTGGTCCTCAACGAAAGTACTACAATCGTCAACGGAATCTCTCGAAACTTCCTCCTGGAAGACGCCATTCTCGACACTTTCGACGGCACATTGCTTTCTCGAAACAAGGGGGACATTGTGAAGGAAGGGAGAGAGATCAAATCCGGCAGTGATCCGATTCAAAAACTCGGAAAGGCATTGAAGAAACCATTCGAGAGATTCGGTCCCAAGGCAATCATTCGATATTTTATCTATCTGCCCCTCAATTTCATCCCACTTGTTGGCACCGTTCTCTTCATCTTTCTTCAATCGAAAGGGAGGGGCCATCAAGTTCACAACCGGGTACGCAGTCCCACACTTTCTTTATTCCCGAATTATTGGCTGACTATCAGGATTGAAGTACTTTCAACTCAAGAAGTGGTCTCCTTCGCAGAGGTCCCAGTGGCTAGGAAGGCATGCTGGGCCATACACAAGCTTCGGCCTGGTCGCCACACTGCTGGAAATGATCCCTGTGGCGTCCATGTTTTTCACATTTACCAACACTGGTAAGCCTTTATGCCTTCTCTAACGTATTTAGTCACGGATATATGCTGATAATTTCTAGTTGGTGCTGCCTTGTGGGCCGCTGACATCGAAGCAATGAACACTTCTATGACCGATGAAACCGCACCGACTATCCAAGGATCGGCAAAAAAGTCTTCATGAATACGAGAGTTGTCAATCGAGCGCTGAGAGCAAAAAAAAGTTGTTGACATTCCTGGAATGCTGTTCAACGTGGAGAGCTTTGGCGGCGTGTGCCTCATAAAATACCTATATTGAATTCACAGCTCCGGTCTAATTTGCTGCATGACGACCTTTCGTCTCCGGACAGGAAACCATATGTCTCCCAACGGGGACCATTCCAATGTTAAAATGAGAAACAGAGAATAAACGGAAGACTTCTAGTCTTCCATTATATATCTTTCACGAAGTTAGCCATCCTTGTTGCTAGTGTGACTGTAAGAGTGTGAACTCCACACGAAACACACACATCTCAGCCCCCCGGCGTACGAAAAGAAAAACGCAACCCAGTCCAACTCTGAATGAATAGCTGCCCTTAGACATTATCTTAGATCTCCTCTATACGCATGTTCGTAACCGGCCAGTTCGTCTACTGTCATACGAAATATAGCAGTATTGACTCTAGTTTGCTTTATCATTCAGATGCCTTTCGCCGGCTTTTGCAATCCAACCTTCTTTAGTACAGCATGAATTCATAGCCTTATACGATATAGATGCACAAGTAGATTTTCTTGTGTGGTAGTCCCATCACAGAGTCTAGATAGCGCAACTCCTTCTCCCGTTTCTTGCTTGGGTCTAGCTTGACACCATCGTAACCTTGGGTTGGGAGAAACTTGTGCCTCTGAACACAGGCCAAGGCTCGCTTCAAAACGCGAATTTATCGGAATTCAGAACATAACCCCGTAAGACACCACAAACTTTTAGCAAAAGATATTCCATATACGACTTTAGCCGTTGCAGTCTTATCGAGGAGGATAGTTCTATCCATGGCCATATAATCAAGCTATGGAAGGTATTTTCCCATTCTCCCTGGCGATCGGCAGGCGACAGGTACTCGGACATTATAATGGAAGACTTGGAAATCTGAAGAATTAGGCCCCGCTTGGCAGTCGCCTATTAATTCCTCTTTCTAATATACCTTCCTTACACAGCCACGGCAACTTGAGGGAGGACTGGAAACCGTTTGTATCAGAGTTCATTTCTCACAAAATGGTTTCCCATGTGCTAGGTCTCCAATGTCTGTTGCTATCGGGAGCTAGGAGAGGGGAGAGTAGGGGCTAGGCGTTGGCAACCATCTCACTCTCGGCTCACCTTGTTGTCACCACTGGGTCTTCCACGCTACCACATATATAATGAGGCCACAGACAAGTTAGGGCTTTCGTAGCACTCTCCATTTTCATCGTACCCTTATTTCTTTTGAGCCTTCGGCCTTGAAGGCTTCTTTTTCTCCTAGCATCTCCTTTGCCCTATTCACCTTCATTCATTCACTCACCCACACTCGTTGACACACGACGTTCCTTTATCCATCTCCTGTCAGAACATTCAACAATAAGCTCGATTTCTGTTGTCAAACTTGTCAAGCCAAACTACGGGTCTTCGGGCCTAGAAACCATGAAATCTCCTGCATTCATTCTCGGCCTTTGGCCGCTTTTCTTCATCTTGTGTTGCCTTTGGGGGGCAGATGCGGCCCATCAGAGCGCCATCACAGGTGTTTTAGACACTTCCACTCAGAAAGTTGAACCCGAACAACGCATTCGTGCCGAAAAGGTCGAAAAGGGCGAAGATGATGCTCCCATCAGCTACGGGTATCCTGATCCGTATGGCCCAATCACCTACGGATCTGATACATGTCAGTATCATGCTTCCATTCTTCCGCCATAGAATTATGCTCACCTACCACCAGATGCGGCTTCCAGTAAAACCTCTGAAGAGTCCGATGCAAGTGCAGATGCCACTCCATCCTCACGACCGACTTCCTCGCTGCGTGAGACCGACAGTAGCTTCGGAGTTTCGGCCACCAGTCTAGGGACCGGTTCTACTACAAGCCCATCAGCTCTTACCACTCCCCTCAACTCAGAATCCGCCAGTAACCCAGGCTCAGTCAATTCAAGAGAGTCCGCTTCGGACACTAAGGAGTCAATTTCCACTACTGACCGCTCGAACTCTGCTAGTAGTATCTCATCTGGAACCTTTAGCCGTGAAGCCGAAACTTCCTCGCCTTCGCCGACCACTTCGGCATCTAGGAGTCTTCCTCCAAGTGGACTCTCGTCTATGTTTTCAACAGACAGTGTCACAAGTTCTGTTTTATTGGGGACTATCTCACCTTCAACAGTTATGGCGGAGGACACCAGTTTAGTTTCCTCTAGCACATCTTCGACACCTTCTCAAGCAGGGTCGGATTCAGAACCAACCCCGATAGATAGTCCTCTATCATCAAAGACTGGTCCAACATCAACAGACTCCAAGACCACAATAACCAGGACAACCAACGGCACCGTCGTATTCACCGACACAGCGACACAGCGAGACCCTCAAACCGATCCGAGTGCGTCGCTCAAATTCACGTCCAACCAGCTTCCCTTCGAGACTTCATCTCTTCATGTTAGCTTCACTTCGAATCAACTTCCCTTCGAAAGCGAATCGTCAATTGAAAGCTCTTCGGCAACAACAACCATTTCTTCGGGGCTTATATCGAGTCCAAGTCCCGAGCCCAGGACCAGTGCGAATCGAGATAGCACAACGACAACAAACCAGAGCCTAGACAGTTCAGCTTCAATCTCTACTCTTTGGCCTCCGCCATCCGGTAACTCCACAGCGACAGTCTGGTCGCCACCTTTCTCTTCTCCTTCCTCGCCTGCTACTGGAGTGTTCGCATCAGAGACGACCCCTACCAATAACACGACGGTAACGTCAGAGTTGTCTGGTTCTGCAGCATCAGGTATTCTCACACCACCAAACTGGGCTCTGTTTACCACAACTGTTGTGGTTGACGGCACTACTTTGACAACAATCATTTCGCTCACTGGGGTGGTAAATGGTTCTGCAACTCCAACCTTGGGATCATTATCTCAAACGTCAACGACCAATTTAAATATATCACCAACACAGGTCACACCATCCACTGGAAGCCAGGAAAGTCCTTCACGGGCACTCTCCAGAATGACAGCCAGCCTTGAGTCTCCAACATCTATATCAGCTCAGTTAACTTCCCCTACGGGGTCGACTGTGGGAACAAACACAGAATCTACCCCTTCAGATTCCACAACTCCAAGTTTACCTATCCCATCCAACACGGTCTCAACTCTGGTAAATACAACTACGAGCCCGATAGAAATATCAGCAACCCTTCGGCCAACAACAAGCACGCCTATTACAGGGCCACTTACTACCTCTCAATTGCAGAGCCCTACGAAAGCTCTTAGCTCTCCATCTATTGTTCCAAGTCTTGTGTCCACTATTCCATTCAACTCTAGCAGTAGTATGGCAAACGGCACCACAGACACAACCTTCACACCATATCCTTCTACCCTCCCATCAGTCGATGTAACGACAGGCTCACTCAACGGGTCTTGGACAACTGCAACACCAGTCCCGTCAAGCGGCTCACCGGGGCAGCTGGGTACCAGCACGTTGGTTTTCGCAAATAGCTCAACGCCTGTCCAAGGCCCATCTCTTGATCCCACGGTTGCGTTTACACTTACACTTACGCCAAGTCCCGTCTCTGGGTCGAGTGATGGCACGCCGCATTTACCACCCTCGACGAGTCAAATATTCACGTCTCCGAGAACCGAGAGCCAAATCGTCACAGGTACCCCGGAACCCAGCCTCATAACATTATCGACAACATCCTGGCGTGCGACGTGGAGCAGTGGTTCCAGTATTTCCGACAGTCCAAGTAGTGGAGAGACGTCACCAGCAACCTCGGGTGTAACTATTACGGTTTCGATTCCAGGAAGCTGGCCAAGCAGCGTAGGGTCTCCCATAAATACCAGTGGATCTTCTGATTCCAAGCCCTCGGCGAGTGACGATAACAACTCGCCTCCAGCCTTCAGCTCGCCAACCTTCATCACTCTATCCAGCCCAATAGAGTCCTCGGCGAGTGAAGCTACCGGTTCGTCTCCAGTCTTCAGTTCGCCAATCTTTATTACCCTATCCAGCGCAACAGGGTCCTCGCCATCAAGTGGCCCCGTTTCTCGAACAATGGCCAATACTCGCACGGCTTTGGAGACCTCAACTATCACAATGGAGGGTTCTACGACCAGCGAGAGCGCAACCCCAGGAACAGTCCCAAGTCCCACAGAAACAAATCTTGCGTCAATTCGTAACATATCCAGCTTGTCGACCACTCCAGGGAACACTCTTACAACATTAACAGGCCTTTCATCACGTTCTGGGTCTCCAATTGGGGGAACTTTGAGCTCCTTGTCAGGAGTTTGGACTAATTCGAGCCGAATCTCATCAGATGGTTCACCCATCTCAACCTTTGGGCTTCCCACTGGCCAGTCCACCCAGGCCCAAGACACTGCCGGGGCCTCGAGTAGCAGCAGCCCAGTATCTGAGACAACGCTCCTAACGATCGCCGTTCCCCCGACAAGCAATTCCACGGGGCAGTCCTCTCCGCCATTCACTGGGAGCGGCTCTCTCCCCACAAACTCCGAAAGCGTGACAGCTGAAGTGACCTTCTCTACACCCTCACCATCTTCCTGGTCAAGCTGGACCACTAAATCGGCATGCAATGGCTCCGTGGCTGATTCGATGGTGAAATCTTCCACCTTTACCACAACATGGACAGTCACGACGACGAGTTTTTCAACGGAAAATGGGGACGCCCCTTGCACTCATCTTGACCGTAGCAATATCACAGCAGCTTGGTCAAATACGACATGTACGTCGACAACATCCAGTTGCAGTGGTATGTGAATTGAAATGACATCTTTGCACGGGGAACACTTACTAACTAGGCTTTCTCACTCTAGGTCTCAGCCAGTCTCCTGGTTCAACCACGTTGAAGACCGTGACTACAGTAAGGGGAGAGTCAGGGAGCGAGGACTCAAACACCCTCTACCAGCCCCCACCAACTGACATAGTAGCCGGCCCCCCGGAAGTGAAGGATGAGCTTCCAAGCAACCCTGACTATCCTTGGGGCGGAGGCTCGCCTATTCATCGTCACCAGATCGTGGATGAACCGAAGAAGAACGCCACCAACACCATTGGAGCCCGGTCCAGGATCAAGAATTGGCTCTGGGGGAGGTCGATCAAGAGGCTCAAGCCTCATTGGTTCGAGACTCCTCCGAATGACCAGGATGGAAGCGGGGAGTAAACCGCTTGGTTTACCTCGCTGCAAGCAAGAGTGTGTGTTCGATTTATAATTGAGTTCGGTCTGGTTGGAAGGTGTTGGAACTGGGGATGGCCAGCCGCATCCATATGTCTCAACAACACGAGTTCGTTGTGAGGCACCTCGTATGTCTTAAACATGTTGCGAGTGAGGTACCATAGCTTTTAGCACAGTTTCCGCGCCTGTCGGATAATACTAGAGGCAGCATGGCGTTCAAGTCTGCCGAAAGCAGTCACAGAATAATTAGTGTGCGGTCTAAAGGCCAAATCAAATCGAAATTTCACTCTTCAAGCTCGTTTTGACAATGATTATGGATGCATCTTTTGAACCCTCCGTCGGCTTATTCCATTACAAACCTGGCGTTGACCGTTTGAGCCGAGTGGACAATAAGCGGCCATGTTCCACTCTGACGGCATAGCGGCCGTGCGTAGTGGGTATCCGCCTTTGTCTGTTTGTTAGCCTCGTACTCGCGGATGAGAGAGGAGGAACTGATGATGCAAGTGGGAGGCGTGGTCAAGGTGATCGACTAAGCCTGGGGTTTTGGTTAGCAATCAATATCCATCCTGGCCATGTCAGAGAGGCTATTTTGAGGTTAAAGGCTCAGGTAGGTAATAATACTAGGGTCGCTATTTGGTGTTTACCCTTGAAGACGTCATCAGTCTTGTTGTTGTCTTTGTCGTTCGTCTCACGTTGGGGGCCTTTTTCTTTTCTTTCTCTCTTAAGTGGCTACGAGTTAAGATCATACGCATTGGCCGGAGAAAAACCCTATTAATCAAAGGGCTTAATTGACGAGATCGGCGAAGTACATTCTGGCAACGCTCCGATATCATCTGGTCCATTTCATGATACAGGGTAGTGCAATATCCGCGCGCCAACTCTGTCCGGAGAATAAATAGTTTGGAGACAATGATGGCATAGCTGAGCCGTCCCGCAGTGTAATTGGTGCTAGGCGCTAAGTTGGATCAATTGGCAGGGTCACGCATTGGTCACTGGAAGTCAATCTTTTACCATATCTGTCGGTGAAAGTAAGTGGTGAGATTGTTCCCTGGCTGCCTGGATCAGAGGGGCAGAAGCTGGGCCTCCCTGACAGGGATGCGCGTCCCACCGATGAGGTAGGTGACGCTCTGCGATTGCTCTTCTGTTCAGCCCAATCTCTGGCGATCGCCCAGCGCGATCCAGTGATTGGCGTTTGAAACCCGCCTGTCGTTTCCTGGATGTTTCAGTAGGCAGAGAGAGCGGGGGATCTCAGCGCAACGGGTTCCATTAGGAAGCTGCCTGGAGGCGCTGTGTGCACTTCTGAACAGGAGACAGCGAAGAGATCTGTGCTGATGTTTGACATGATGTCCTGATACAGTATCGAGACGCCGGCGACCACAGATACGAACCCGAGGGCAAAAGATCCTGGCTGTCTAGGGTGGCCGACCGAAGAAGCCGAACACTCACGGGGCGGTCGGAACTGGCTGCTGATCTGTACCAACAGCACTGGTCAGCATGCCCAACATCGTGTTTTGGGCGGGGAGATGGTAGCCAAAGCAGCGTGCAGCGTTTGCGTCGCAAGCAGAAAGGGGCTGCTGGAACTAAAACACAACTATTGCTTTGAAGCCAGTGACGAATGCAGACGAATGTCTCCGTGGATTGGCTTGCCGCAGTCGCTGTACCTTAATTATCGTTGCCGGTTGCCGCTGGCCCCATTCGGTGGTGGCCTGATATGCCAGGCCAAAACGATTACGTCGCCCTCTGATGCATCCAATACGAACACGGCAGCTCCCCTCTTCCTGTATCCGGAACCTCCACAACCGCCCAAGCCAGCGCCAGGACAAAGTCACTGTGCCTCGCCCCCCCAGCTACCCGCTTGGACCCTTCTTCCATGTATCTGCATTCCTTCCTCCTCCACCTTGATCAACTCCTTTTGTCAATTTATTCATTCGTCCTCTCTTTTCCCATCTCTAACTTTTGTTTTCCATTTGTATCTAACCTTAGGTACTACACACTCACCAAACACACAACAAAGCAGTCGTCCCCGCCATCATGCTGTTGAAGCAGTTGGCTCTCGCGGCGTCCGCGGCGGCCTTCCTCGTGGTCCCCGATCTTCCCGGCAAGGAAGCTGGCCAAGACGAAGAAGTTAAAACCCTCCCCGTTGTCGCCAAACCCAACGAAGCGCCTGGTGTATACGTGGTTCCCCAGTTCGAGACCGTCAGCGTTCCCTGCGCCGAATGCAAGGGATCCTCCGACTCCCACATCAAGCTTGACTTCCAGGTCGAGAACGCTGCTCGCCTGACAGTCAACGGCTACGAACTATATCCCACCGCCGATCCTTGGCACAACGACCTTGTGGCCAGTGAAGTCGCCGATGATGGCAAGGCTGCGGACCAGACGTTGGGATACGCACTTGCCGTCGCCCCTCGTGTTGAGGACCCCTTCATCGAACTCATTACTGTCGACCTTCGCATTATTGAAGTCGGCGAACTTTTCGTCGAGAAGGTCCCCCCCGTCAGAGTGAACCTCCTCAAGATGCGACAGGGCGGTGAGATCTTCCTGAACAACATTGAAATTGCCCACGTCGTCGAAGAAGTTGAGGACTCTATCGCCAGCCGCATCAAGGCTAAGTTTGCCAGCCTCTGGGGCAAAATCAAGAGCCTCGGAAAGTGCAAGCATCACAAGCACATGCACCACAAGGGCATGGAACATAAGGGCCACAAGGACCACAAAGGCCACAAGGGTCACAAGGACCACAAGGACCATGAGCACCACCACGGCAAGGTTCAAGGCCACGGAGGTGATCACCATCGCCATGGCCACCACGGCTTCCGTCGCGACTGGCGCAAGCTCCTCAAGAATATCACCACCAACATTCTTCTTCCCGTCTTGACCGGTGTCACCGCCGGTGTTGGTGTTGCAGTGTAAGTGACAACACGTGACCCATGCAGAACCACGTTTGAAGTTAACATGCTAACATCATTGTTGCAGTCTCGCCATGGGTCTTTGCAGCGTTGGCGCTGTCGTCTTTGCCTCTCGCCGTAGACGCCACCGTCGTTGCTCTCGCAGGAGCAAGCACGCTCATCGTCCCCAGCCTATTTCGGCCGATGATGAGAAGGCTGGTCTTATGGAGCACTACGAGGATCTTGAGGCCGCCCCCCCACAATACCAGGACCATCCTTCCCAGGAAGCTCAAACAGCTCAAGAAGAAGCTTAAATGTCTTCTTTCATCAGTCTCGCATCTGAAGTCCAGTTCCCTACAGGAAATGAACGAGACAAGCACCAAAATTACGTCACCGGAGACCGCACTCCTCCGGTGCTCAAATTCATTGTGTCGGCGGGCGTTTTGGAATTTGCAGAGAGATGACAGTGTATATTACTTTTGGGTTGATGGACCACCTCTGGTGCCATAAGCTTCCATCCTCATCCTCTCCTTTGCATGCTGAATTCGGTTATTTATGGCTTTGATTTTACTATACCCACATTCCTTCCAACTAGGTTTTCGTCATTAGCAGCTTGATCAAACAAATCCCAAAAAAATGGTATTTATCTTTATATTCTCGTGATTTCGCTTGTCGGTGTCGTGTGTTCCGGCTGGGTCCACTTACTATTGGGACAGATATAACATCGGATCTTACACTTTGGGGATAACTCAGGGCAAGCAAGGGCATAGCGGGAGAAAGTAAAGCTTGACTAGGGAACCTCGGCCATCTCTTCAGGTCCATGCAACGCTGCCCATCATAAGGCAGTCTTGTGTGGGACTGTGGGGGTTTCTCCGCGCTTAGTGACTTGTCTCGCTGCACATTCCCCCGATGAAGAGGGGAAGATGATTTGGCGATACCCAGGTCCCGGGATAAAACTAGCCCAAGCCCCGGTTCAAGGACGTAGATCGTAGGAAAATATCTTCTTGAAATTCCAGGCCCTCTGCAACTAGCCAATACCACCGGACCTCGAGGAAATGTCGTCAACTCAGCAGGGCGTGTACCCCGGGCGCCGGTTAGCCCAGATCGTGCGGCTCAAACCCGAGCATGTGGCCGAGTACAAGGAGTGCCACAGCAAGGTCTGGCCCGAGGTTTTGAAGCAGATCAAGGACTGCAATATTGAGGACTGTATGGCTTGCTACGTGTTCTCGGCTTGGTTTCATGGCGTTCTGGGGGTGTATAATGGCTAACGATTGGCTCGGCGGGCGTTGCAGACAGCATCTTCTGGGACGACAACACGGGTATTCTCTTCGCGACACTCCGATATGTTGGGAACGACTACGAGGGCGACATGGCGCGCATGGCAGCCAATCCCAAGGTGCGGGAATGGTGGAAAATGACGGATGGATACCAGACCTCGCTGGTCCCCGGGGCCAAGAGCTCGGACTCTGAACCAGGATGGTGGAAGCCGCTCGAGGAGGTGTTTTACCAGCCTTGAGTTGGGATTTGGCAGTACAATCGGGAAGGAGAGGTGAAATGCATGTGTTCTTTACCTAGACGTGCCCAAGAACTCTAAAGTTTCTGGGCTCGGGCCCTGCCCTATTGATCCTGTTGCCAAGATTTCACCACCGTGTGCCCGTCAATGATCTGCTGAGATGTTTCCTTGCAGGAGGGGCGAAATGATGAACAATTGATGCGCTGATCCTCGCTGAAACCGAGATCCCCACCAGCCGCAATCAGCCATTGCAGGGTATCGATCAGTGTTTTGCCTTGCTGGGCAGGTGTCTAGCACATACAGAAAGCTAAAGAAGACGTTGAGAGAAATTCTGGGAGATTTTTTGCGTTATCCACTTCGTGATGCTGATAAAATCCCCTTTTACCTGTGGGCTTTTGCGAAAGATATCATCCAATTTCTATGGAGACTCCTTGGCGGGGTTTATAGAGCCTCTCTATTGGAGTCAATGCATAGGCAGCCCCTGTAATGATATGCCACTGAGATCTTCTCAGATGCACTCAATGCAGCTCTGATTTTGCAAGCCATGT